TTTTGCCAATAAAGTTTCAAAATTGTATCATGGAAAAAACAAAATGATCTAATTTTTAGTCAAAAAATTTCTGAGGGATTTTTATTTTGGAGAAAAATAAATGCAAGCCAAGAACACACATACAATATAGAAATTTACTTTCTCTCCAAAAGTAAGTTTGTTTAGAAAGCAATATGGAAATTTCTTTAAAAATGAAACACAGACTTGTCACATGACCCAGCAACGCCATTCCAGAAACCCTATCCAAAATAATGAACATATGTGTACACCCAAAGAATTACACTCAAATGTTAACGGCAGCATTATTCACAATGACCAAAAAGTGGAAACAACCCAAAAGTCTGTCAACTGGCGAATGGACAAACAAAATATAGTATATCCATACAGTAGAATATTACTTGCCAATAAAAAGGATTATAAAATACTGACAAAGCTACAATATGGATAATCTTAAAAAGTGAATGGAGCCAGTCATAAAAGAGTATGTATGATTTCGTTTATATAGAATACTCAGGAAAGGCAAATATATAGAGAAAGGAGATTAGCTGTTGCTTGAGATTGCAGATGGAGAAAAACTGAAGGCAGCATAAGATTTATCTTTAGAGTGACAGAAATGTTCTAAAATTAGATTGTTGTAATGCTTGTACAGCTCTGTAAATACGTTAACATTCACTGAATTATACACTAAAAACAGGTGAATTCTTCATTACATAAATTACATCTCAGTAAAGCTATTTTTAAAAAATGAGTTTGCATCTTGTAAAAATCTGGCTTATTTCAAACTGGACTAGGGTGGTGGGTGTTTGGGACAGTTAGACAAAAATGAAATATCTTGACAACTATTAAATTGCTTTGTAAATCTATACATTTCCTAAATAATGAAATTACTGCTCTAAAATATCAAGCATTCCTTCTATAGTTATAGAATTTAACTAATTATATATTACAAGTTATAATTGTGAGACTCAAAATACTTCGAGATTTAGAAAGGGATGACAACACAAATCATATAAACAAAAACAAAAATGTCACATAGCTTTGCCACCTGCTACAACATTTTATTTAAGGCTTCTAGAAGAATCTAAGTAACATTCAACTATAATCATGACACTAACTAGCCAGACATTTCAATTATAAAGGTATTGTATAATATATACTTCAGGTGCAAACAGTATTACTTATGTATATGGATGGCTGTGGAAAGGGAAAAAACACCTTTTCCAGCTCCCTTCAAAGGTATTTTAGTATTCCAATCTTATTTTTAAACAACATTGTGGAAAATAGTAAGTTGAAACAAGTTATTTTATTAAAATAATGATTTTTAGAAGTTGCTTTTATTGTTGTGCACCAAAAACTAACTTAGCACTACAGGTCAATTATACTTCAAACAGAGAACTCTTAGAAAAAGAAATCAGATTTGTAGTTACTGGAGGTGGAGGGAAGGAGGACTGGAAATTGGACGAAAGGAGTCAAAAGATACAAACTTCCAGCTATAAAACAAATCAAGTACTATGGATGTAATGTATAACGTGATAAATATAATTAGCACTGCTGTATGTTATATACAAAAGTTATTCAGACAGTAAATCTAAGAGTTCTGATCACAAGGAAAAAATATTTTTCTTTTTCTTTTATTTTATATCTATGAGAGATGATGGATGTTTACTAGATTTATTATGGTAATCATTTCATGACACATGTAAATCAAATCATTATGCTGTACACTTTGAACTTATACAAGGCTCTATGTCAACTATATCTCAACAAAACTGGAAGAAAAAAATAAAAATAAGTAGAAATAAATATTGCTTTTATTGTATAAAAATGAAGCAAAAACTTTGAAAAGTAGTAATTTCTCAGTCTTTTGTAAAATATGTTGATCTGCAAGATAGGAAGATTGTTTAGCTGGTAAAACATGGTCACCAAGTTGTAATTTTGTGCTTTTGCATAGTTAATTGATATGTAATCAGGCTGTCACCTCTATATGATTTTATGTTCAAAAGTAAACTCAGTCAGGGATTAAACCACTTCTATTGAACATTCCCAAGAAACCTGCTTGAAGTCAATGATGCTGAGATACGTTTAAATAAAGAGCTTGCTTTCTGGCTGCTAGGTATCCAAAAAAAATATTGCTATGATTATGTCAAAGAATGCTCACCCTATATTCTCTTCTAGGAGTTTAATGGTTTCAGATCTTACATTTAGGCCTTTAATGCATTTTGACTTATTTTTGTATATGATGTAAGAAAAAGGTCTAATTTCAGTCTTTTACATGTAGCTGTCCAGTTTTACCAGCACCATTTATTGAAGAGACTGTCTTTTCTCCATTGTGTATTCTTTCCTCCTTTGTCATAGATTAATGAAAGATTCATGCTTATAACCAACATTCATGCCAGGCACACAGCTCCCCTCCCCCAGCTCATTAACGTTATTTCCTAGAGGCATGCCACAATAAACATCATAAAATTCACAGTTAATGGATGCCCTCAATGAATTTTCTTTAATATATCAAGTCTCTAGTTGATCCTTCATTAAGAAAAAGGAATTCACTATTTTGGGGAGCAAAATGTCTGTTCCATTTAGTGTCTCTGTCTGGGAGCAATGTCTTCCTGAATATAAACTCAGAGCCAGAACCAAGACATTAATTTGTGAAGATCAAGTTTGATCTGGTGATGCCACTCTTTTCCCTTGACGCTATTTCTATCATCATCCCCCAACCCCTCCCCCAAAAAGACGTATCCAGGTGAGAGCCAAGCTCTCTCACTTAATAAAACATACACAGGCCCAGGAATTCATATATTCTATAAATGTGTGTTTTTCAGTAACTCTAAATTATACTGATCACTGTAAGAGGAAAACACTGAGGAATGATGTCCCTGTCTGTAAGAATAAAATATGAGAAAAAGCAAAATTATGTGGTATTGCACTTTGGTTTTATTAACTGTAAACTATTATAAATATATATATATATACATGTTAGCTACCCTGTGCCAGACTAAGTGCTCTCTCTCCAGACCCCTCCTCCTCCATACCCGCTCCCACACATACACTATTGTTTCTTAAACTCTTTGGGGTAGGTATTATTACCATCATTCCCACTGCACAAAAAAAAAACAGGTTCAGAGGTGTTAAGTGTGCCATCTAAGGTGACACAGCCAGTAAGTAGATAGCAGGTCTAGAATTAGAATCCAGGTACCCTGACCTCAGTGTTTGTGCACTTAATCACTGTGTCTTTCTGTTCCCTGAGTTTGTGGGTTTTGCCCAAATAAATTTACCATAATTCTGCAAATGAGCCTGACAAGAGCTGAGTTATTTCCCATCTCAAGGACATAATCATTTGAAACTTTCTCCTGTTAGGCTTTTCTTTTCCATATATGGTTACATTGTACTTATATTACTCTTGTTATTTTATGTTATACAAGTTGTATCGTAGTTATCAGCTCTAAGCTTCATTTTATCTTCTACACAGACATTCTGTATTATTTCTCTCCTGGTGATATTCACTGCATTTTACACATACTATTGATTTTTGTAGTTAGGGTACCATGCACCCACTGTTTTCTTCTCCTTTTCAAAAATTAAAAAAAAAGTTTTAAAGATCTGAATATTACACCAAATTGTGACTAACCTCACTACATAATCTATGTTAAAATATTCTTCTTATTGCTGTTATTCCTCCAGTCCTCTAATTTTTATTCAATATATTCTTGCAGACTCAAGCCAGTTGAGATGAATTTTCCCTTGAGATTTGAAAAACAATTTTAAGTGGTTTTTACAGTTTGTTTCCATCTTAACTCAAGTATATGGAGGAAAATTTGTTCTCTGTTACAAGCCTGTTGTAAACTCATAACCTGGTATTCATCAATCAAAACTGAAGGGGAAAATGAGCCCATTACACTTTAAACTGTATGCTCAGAGTTTGCTGGAAGTTAGGTAAGTGATGTTGTCCAGGAAAGGATAAAAGTTGATTGCATTTCTACAGGTATTGCTGGACCATACATTTACAAAAAAGCCTGATATGATTTAATCCGGATTATAACCATTACTTTAATTCTGGTGATTTCAAAAATAGACTGAGAAAAATGATGGGTTTTTTTTTCCTGTACACTAAAAAAACTCTGGATTTTCAACCTGCTCACATTACATTGTTCTTCTACAATTAGGCTCTAAGATGAAACTCATCTGTCCATCCCCACCAAAAACATATGTTTCATTTTTTTTCTAGAAGACTGGATGTCATTTCTGTATGTAAAAGGTGGCTAAACACAAGTTTGGTACACCACCAGGAAATTTTTTTCCAAGATAATTTAATATAGTTTTGGAAACAGGTTTTAAACTTTTAAATGGTAATTTCTTGCAAATAAATTATGAACAGTTTCTAAAAGAACTTCTTTATACATTTGGGCACTTGCTGTCTTTATCACCATACATAGTCAATGCCTCAGTTCTCCAAATCCATAGATGAAACAGTGGCCTGAATCCTGACACCCACCAGGACCCTGGGACTAACCTGGTCACTGGGTCACCACCAGACTAGTAAGAGAGCTCTGCAAATCCTCAGCAAATATATAACTGCTCTCACTATTTGGAAAATGTTTAAACGCCCTCCCATTCGTTTCTGAAAACCTGCCATATAGACAGAGGAAGAGAGCTACTAATGTTGCAGCATTAATCTCTATGTCCTCCTCCCATTGTTCATTACTGAGGCCTAAGGTGGCAGGTGCAACTTTTGAGAAGCACCTTTGGGGGCAAACCAGCACTCCGGATTACTGGGTTAAGAGTCCATCTGCAGCTTTCATCAGGGTCACTGCCCCTACCAACAGACCCTGCAAGGCTCCTTTTATTGGAGGCCCATCTGAACAGTTTCTAGGATTACCAAGTTTTCCCAAAGCATTTGTTAGAACAGCGAGAGGTAAGATAGCAAGTTATATCCTGGGAATTTTCCCCTTGAATGTGTAACTAATGTTGGTAACGAGGGTGTTGGAACCACAACCGCCGGGTCTCCGGGGACAGGCTGGGAGTGGCTTTCCGGCAGGCGGGTGGGGCTTGGGAGGGAGGAGTCACCAGGCTCGCGCGGTTATCCTTGGAAGAGCGCTGCGCCCCAGAGCGAGGACACGCGGCGACCCTGAAGGGGGAGCAGGAACAGACTGAGTCCTGTGATAGAAGAACTGAGGAGGGGCTGCGATGGCCCCTTCCTACCCGCACCCACAGCCAGGGCCCTGCGACGCCTTCGTTCCACCCGCGGCAGCTGCGATGCCTGGCGGAATCTGGGTGCTGGCGCTGGCACTGATGCTCCTGGCCCCGGGGAAAGGTTGGCCAGGTAGGGCGCTGGCGGATGGGAGCGCAGCGGCGCCACCTGGGCCTTTGGGAGAGGGGGGCTGACTTCCTGGATGACACGTGGAGAGTGCTTGCGCATCTAATGGCCTCATCTAATATTTGTCTCTTATCAACCTCTACTCTGCCCTAACACAGTCTTTGGAAAGGTCACCTTACAATCTCAGTGCGCTCCAGTTTTCCTTTGCGCACAGGAGGTTGTTGCCGCCTCTTCTCCTAAGACCCCTAGTCCCGCTTTTGTTCCTTTGTCTGTTTCCTGCTGATATTCTGCTCCTTAAGGTCTCTTTAATTCACTGTAAGAGAGAAAGTTTTGCTGGATCTGCCAGGTGTCCTATGGACAAATGGATCTGAAATATCCGAAAAGAGCTCAATTCCAAAATGCACGATTTCTACACCACTCATCACCCCCTGGAAATAATAAACTGACGAACAGTTTATTCCTATAGTAATTCAATAAGTTTTGTGTATAATATTTTTCGTTTATCTGTTAGAATCTGTTTTGCTACTGTAAAAGAGATCTCTAAGGAGAGATTAGCTCTCTTCCTACTTCAATCCAAGACTAAGGACATATAATTTAAAGTACAGTGAAGTTAAAACAAAACAACATTCATTAGCCCTTCCTGATCGTTTTTGTGTTCACACAGATGGGAATATTAAATGAAAGGTAACTTGTTCTTACAAGTTTACTTAATTTTCAGAAATGAATCTGATCTGTGTAAAATTACCTGAAGCTTAAAAAAAAAAGATTGTGAGCAACATTTATAAACATTCAAGGCATAATTTTGTTTTATCACTTTGTTGATCTTAATCTATTTTACTAAGGTAAGTTTATGCTGTAAAAAAGGGAGGGGGAATAAGCACCCTGCCATGTAAAAGTGTAAAAAGAATATTAGAACCCAATTAAGTTATTTCCTGAAATGCTACACCTCAACAAGCTATCAGTGGTCTGTGTCTTCTTTGGTTTGCTTACACATTTACTAGAGCTTCATGAAGAACTGTTAAAAATACATGTAATAATTTATTAAATATGCAGTTATTATAGTTACATAATGTTTCCAGAAAAGTGACCAATATTTATAAAGGAATTTGCTTCAGTGTTTATTAAGATCAGATAACCACTTCTTGTCTCTATAAAATAGCCTTGTAATCCCTTTACTGAAGGCGAGCAGTGCTGTTACCAGGTTCTAAGCTCATACCATGGTGGAGTTTAAAATAAAGTTTATAATAAACTTCTATATATTTACTAGAGTTAGCACAGATAAAAGGGGAGACAAATGGAAAACACAAGACTTTTCTTTTTGCATACAGCCTTGTTAAGATATAGTTCATATACCATACTAATCACTCATTTACAGTGTACAGTGGTTTATTACAGTATACAATGACATGGGTTTATGTATATGTGCAGTCATTACTATAGTCAATTTTAGAACACTTTTGTCACCTTCAAGAGAAATACCATACTCTAGCTAATCTCTCTCTACCCCCTCCTTCACCCGCTCCATCTTCCCAACTGTAAGTAATCACTGATCTACCTTCTGCTCTATAGATCTGCCTACTCTGGATATTTTATCTAAATGAATCACATAATAGATTGTCTTTTGTGCCTGACTTCTTTCACTTAGCATGATGTTTTCAAGGTTCATCATGATGTAGCATGTGTATTGGTACTTCATCTCTTTTTGTGATGGAAGAGTATTCCATTGTAAGTGTGTATGTACCATGTTTTGTATACAAGTTCATCAGTTGATGAACATTTGGGTTATTTCCAACTTTCGACTATTACAAATAGGTCTGCTATAAACATTCAGGTACAAGATTTTGTATGGACATGTTTTCATTTCTTTTAGAAATATACCTAGGAGTAGAGTTATTGGCTCACAGGGTAATGGTGTTTAACCATTTCAGGAATAGCTAGGATATTTTCCAAAGTGACTACACTGTTTTATATTCCTGCAGCAGTGTATGAAGATTCCAATTTATCCACAGCCTTGTTTATCAGCACTTGTTATTACCTGAAATTTTGATTCTAACCACTCTAGTGGGAATGAAGCGACATCTCACTGTGGGTCAATTTGCATTTCCCTGGTGGCTAATGACGTCAAACATTTCCCATGTGTTTACTGGACATTTACGCATCTTCTTTAGAGAAACACCTACTCAAATCCTTTGCCAATTTGTTAATCAGGTTGCTGGCCTTTTTTGTTATTGAATCATATGAGTTATTTGTATATTCTAGATACAATTATCTTAGCAGATATATGAATTACAATTATTTTCACCCATTCTCTAAGTTGTCTTTTTGATTTCTTGATAATGTCCTTTGAAGCACAGAAGTTAATTTTCATGAAGTCCAATTTATCTATCTTTTGTTGCTGTGCTTTGTTGTCATATCGTGAAATATATTGCCAAATCTAAAATCATAGAAATGTACCCCAATATTTTTTCCTAACTCTCATAGTTTAAGCTCTTGTATTCTGGTCTCTGATTGATTTTGAATTAACTTTTGTAATTGGTATAACCGAAAGGTCCAACTTCACCCTTTATTGAAAAGACTGTCATTTCCCATTAAAATTAAAGAGACTTAGCAAACCCATCACTCTATTTAACCGTGCCTTTTAGGCTTTTGTGTTGTTGTAGAACCCATAATACAATTTTGAATATCAGAAGCTTAATGATTAAATTTTTATTTCTCAGTGAATTTGGAGCTCGAAGGTGGTTTTTCCCTTTCCTACATCTTTGGGGAAATTACACAGTCTCTTAAAAATTCACAAATATTTAAAATTCCCGTAGAGCAATATAACAAAGATTTTATAATTATAAACTCAGCTATTATGAAATGGCCGTCCTTAGGCATTAAGCACATTCATCTCTTAAAAATACATTGATTTATTTAGTTTCTTAACATACTTGTTTGTCACCTAGTTATAAATCTTACAGAATGCTAGTCTTAGCCAATGTATTAAACCAGAAAATAATCTAATATAGGTTGCTTACATCTACAAATAAAACTAGAAAACTGTTTGCATATTGTATCATTATGTATCCATTACTTATAACCTGATGCACTTTTTTAAAAGTATTTGAAATCCAAGTATTGCAGATTCTATTATATACTACCTAGCTTCTTTAAATCTTATTGGGAAGAAGATAGAATTAGTTGAAATGTAAATTTTAAAGTATACTTTACATATGCTTTTGTTTTGAGAGAAAAAAAACTACACTGAAAGTTTGCTAGAAAGCTTTGTACATCATTCATGTCATGAAATTGATTGATGAAATAGGCCTGTAGAGTTATTCTTTCAGTACTTGGGGAGCTAGGCCCCTAAATTCCCAAACGAGAGACCAGACCAGCTATAGTTAACTATATCTTCCATTCTAGAGTTAAGGTTGTAATGAGGTTTTTAAGAGTGTGGCTTGTTCATTGCTGATAAGATTTAAAATTGTTCTATAAAGACCTTGAACATCCTAAAAGAGACAAGTAAATCTGGGAGGAAAATTGTGAAATAAATGGTACAAAGAATGAGCTAGTATTAATTACACAAATCAGGGATTTTCCTCTAAAATAAATAAATAAATTTTTAAACATCTCTGTTTAAATATTCTTTAGTATTGTTGATGTCACACTGTAATTTCTTCTACATCTATTACATCATTAGCTTTGAGTTAGAAAACAATTATTCAAAGCAGCAAAATCAGAGGAAATGTGAGAATTACAGAAGCGCCTAGGAAGAAGAAATACTGCACAGAATAAAGATGGAGTTATTGACTTTTTCCCCAAGACAAAATTCTATTACAGGGTAAGATCAGAGAAAACATTTGAATAATTCATGCAAACCTCACTAGTAATCTCTTTTTAAATATTTTCCTTAGTTTCTAAGCAGATGCAATCATCTGATATTGACAGGAATTAGAAATATTTCAAAATTAAATGAAATGATGGTGCAGCCCCTGACTTCTACCCATATACATTTTATAAAATATTTATCTTCTGTTGTCAGATTGAGATAGTCAGAGTCACTGGAGCATTTTGGGGCATTTATAACTGGTGAAACTAGAGACAAAAGGAAGAAGAACCTTTTGTGGTCATTCCAAAAATCTTTTACTAAAAAAAAAATTCTTCAGGGAGATCTTTTATCACACAAAACAGTATCTTTATAACTACAAACAACAAAATAAAAAGCAAAAAATTATAATAAAGACAGTTTTCATAAGCTGCACTTGTGAGACTGACTTACAAATTAATACCTCTAGCTTATAGTGCTCCTTGTTAATTTGTTTGCAAATTGATTTTAGTTCATAAACACTTTGTAACCTAAAATTATATAAAAAAAAGTTTGAGAGTTTTGTTTAGTTAGATAAAAATTTGCTATAGTGAGGTAGCTTAGTAATGATTAAACTTTTCTTCCCCATTTCTGTTTCATAGATATTATCTTTATTAGAGTGTTTTTCTTGAACAAACATAGAATCTAATATTGGGAGATTTTCTGCCCACTGTGTCAACAAGATGCTCTGGTGTCTAAATAAGGACACTTCCTTGTGTTTCTTATGATTTGGGAGACAGGAGCCTCAAACAAGAGCTGTATTTCTAGGATAACTGTTTTCATTGTCTCCTGTTCGCTTCTCTTTCATGCTGGGAAAAGAAACTTTATGTTTTGCCTCTGTGGGTCTGACAGAAAAAGTATCTTGCAGGCCAACTACTGCTCAGAAAATGACTTTCCTAAAAAAACTACAGAACTGTCTCTTTCTCCATGGTCTTTTCTTGTTTTCCCTTCAAAACTTTTCCCCTCCACCCCATTCCTTTTCCTGTGCTTAGAAATCAAAATTAACTTCAATATTTTTATCTTAAAAAAAAAGAAAGTTGAAAACTTTCTATTTTTTCCAGCACTAAAAATTGCAACAGCTTCAGTAGGAGGGCATTTTACAAAAACTGTATTGGCATTGAAAGATTGGTTTCATTCGTTGCATTCCAGAACCTGCCAGAGATGGGATCTGGGGGGCATGTAGCTACTGTGGTGCAAAGCAGGTTGTGGAGGGTCAATAATGGCATTCAAATCTGGAGGACCATTCTCAAGAGAAGTCTTTGTAAGGCCTCTGCCTCCAGATAGTAGGAATACACAAATCCTCACTCAACAGCAATCGGCAATTTTGCTTTTCCAAATTAAATGAAAACAAAATCCTTGACCCTCAAAAGTACATTCTAAAGAGTTTTTGATTTGTTTGTTGTATTTATGGGAAGTGCAGGCAAAGTCATCTTGGCACCTGCTATTTCAGATGGTCTTTTTGTGCACTTGTGGGTTTATCTGCTCTATTTTTGTTTGAGGACTCAACTTCAATTGAGGACTGAACCATGCTAAGGTAGGGAATACACACATAAAGACATCTATCTTTCTATTCTAGTTCAGGAGTGCGCTCCTGGGGGACACCAGTTGCTCCAGAGCCCTTACAGAAGTGTCCACTTTGACTCCTTACACCTCCAGCAGTCAGCCATCCAAGACCTGATATGTGACCATTCCCTGTCTCCCGGCTGGTATCGGTTTCTCCTCTTTGACAGACCTGCTGAGATGCCAACCAAATGTGTAGAGGTATCAGCTCACTATTGTGATCTACATGTGATCTTTCTTAAGTGTTTTTTTCATATAAGGATTGAATCTTGTTACAGCCGATTTGTTTCTCATGCTGGAATACTATTTTAATTTTGTGTCAAGATTGAGTTAAGCCAAGGGAGTCCTCCCATATTCCCTATTCTGAGAGTAATAGTAATAGTGAATACAGTGCTCAGTGGTCCACCCAGTGTTTTCACTTACGCTATCTGTCACAACAACTGTACAAGACAGTCTCTCATCATGACTCCTATCGTACAGTACAGGAGGCGTATTTTTAGGTGTAACACTCCTAGAGTCATCCAGGTAGCAGTCAGACAGTCAAGTTTTGATCACAGGCAGTCATTCTCCAGGGCTCATGTACTTAATCACAGTAGCTTGCAAACAGTAAAATACTGTGTATTTTAAGTGCTTCAGTTCTTGTCTGCTTAACAGAGGGATTATGTCTTAATGGGATGTTTTCCTTATCGTTACCTACATTTTTAAAATTATGCTGAAGTGGAAATTATTTTCTTCTTTACCTATATAATTCAAAAAGAATTCAGGAAAGATATCCCAATTTGGCTTCAAATAAGGCTTTAACTTCATTTTTTTTTCCAATTTGCCAACCTGTTGGTCCACCTCCAGATTTTGAACAATCCTCTCCTTCTCCCCTGATTTTTTGATGCTTCTTGAACTGTGTGTTAACATCTTACATATACTATTTCCAGAAATTTTTCAAGAAATCTCCAAGCTCAGTCTATCTTTGTACTATATGTTAGAATGACTTCAAGTTGACTTATTCTCTTTTAGAATATTTCAGCTATTTTAGTAAGTCAACTGATACTGAATTTGTCTTGTTCACAATATAAATGTAATAAATGGAATAAAAATATTTTAACTGAATAAGAGTATATTAATTATGAGGAATCTATCCTTAAATTTACTATTCCATAAGTGTACTTTACTATACTTTTTCTTTTATGCTACAGTACAAGTTATTCGATTTTTTTAATGATTTATAATTTAATATTTTATAGGTTGTTTAAAAGAAAATGCAAAGTTGATTTATCTACCATGTATGAAAATACCTTGAATTTTCAACTTTTTTTTTCTCCGATCCAAAAGATGAATCACTGTGGAACACAGGCCCCCATCTGGCTGTCTCTGAGAGATTCAGAAACACTGCCCCCTCCTGGAGAGATCAAGCAACTGACAGCTTGTGCCACCTGGCAGTTTTTGTTCAGCACTACAAAAGACTGCTGTCTTTTTCAAATCCCAGTGTCTGTAAGAAACTGTGGGAGGTTCTTTGTATACTTACTACAGCCCACCCAGGGGTGTATGGGATACTGTGCAGAAGGTAAGAAAACTTGTGTAATACACATGAACTGCTAGTGATGGAACTCTGTGTGTTGCTGTGTTTGTGCCATCTTCTGGATGGGGTGAATGCAATTAATGCAAATCTCAGTAAGAGATCTGGTTTACTACTATTGCTAGAGTGAGGCTAAATTCCTGGTTTCAGTTGGGCCAGATTTGTTCAGAATTCTTTGCCAAGATCTTAGACTTCTCAAAAATATTTGTCAGTGTGAAAATATCAATGGTTAACGTTGGTAGTGATAATATAATGAGTATTGATATCATTTATCTACTGATAACATACAATAAGGACCCTTCTCCTTCGTGATATTCTTCCTCAAATGCTGTAACCCCAGTCTAATTATGAGCAAATTCATATAAACCCAAGTTGAGAAACATTGTATAAAATACATGAATAGTACTCTTCAAAAGTGTCACAATCATGGAAAGCCATGAGAGAGTAAGAAACAAACAAAGACTGGAAAGGGCTAGGGGAGCATGAGTAATGCACTGTGATGATATCCTAGATTGGATAACTGTAACAGAAAAGAACATTTGTGGAAAACTGGTAAAATCTGAATAGAGTCTTCAGCTTATTTTAAAGTAGAGTCCTAAAGTCAATTTCTTAGCTTTGACAGATGTATCATGGTTTTGTAATATGTGACATTAGTGGAAGATGGATAAGGGGTATGAAGGAAAGCTCTACACTATTTTTCAACTTCTATGTAAATCTAAAATTATTTTAAAATAAAATGTTTATCACAAAACAAAAATAAAATAAAGAATAAAATTATTTTGGAAAGCAATAGGTGTTATAAATTGAGGAAAACAGGTCAGTATAATAGGGGTTGACTGGCACAGGAATGCTGTCTTACAAAGGCACTTGGGAAGGTCTCTCTGAATAGGTGATGAACTTGAGCTGAGCTCCAAATGAAGAGAATGAGCCAGTCATTAAAAGGTATGGGAAAAGAGCATTTCAGATAAAAAGAAGAGCAAATGCAAATGTCCTTAGACAGGTGTGAAGATAAACATTCCAGGAACTGAAGAAGAAACAGCTTAGTGGGAACAGACTGAGTGCGTGAGCCTTGTGAGATGCTGTCAGAGAAGCTGGAAGGTAACAGGGTCTGCAGCGTCTGCACGCTGTTGTTAAGAACTTACATTTAGGTACAATTGCAGTATAAAGTCTTATGGGGTTTTAAGTAAGTGAATAATGCTGTCTGAGGGTTGTATTTAAAAGGTTACTCTTCCTGCACTGTTTACGAGGCTGTTGCATTAATTCAATAAAAAAAAAAACGGTGGTGATTTAAATGTTGGGGAAGGCGGGGATGGCTTAGAGCAGAGACAAAGGAAAGAGGGTCCTGAATTGGGATGTCTTTTGGAGGCAGAGCTCATGCACTGGCGATGAGAGGAGATAGAAAGAGAAGAACCAAGGACAATATCTAGAATGAAAATACATGGGATTATAAATTGCAAATAATTGGAATTAATTAAATTATGAGTGAAAAGATTAAAACTTATTGTAAATGGGAAAACTGGAGGAAAGAGGAAGATGACATCATAATGTGGTGTGGCTAAAGAAAGCCTTTTCTGAGAACAGGACTTGGCACTGAAAACTGGAGGGTAAATGGTCCCGGATCACAGAAAAAGTGAGGGGAAGAACACCCCAGACAGCAGCAGTAGCACGTGAAAGGCCTTCAGGTAATTAGAGTATGGTGCGCTCGCAAGCGTGAAAGCAGGGACAGAGACGCAGGGTCTCAGCGAGCAAGGGAGAACATAAGGAGACACAGGTTTGGAAGAGCAGCCTGGCCTAGTATTTAAGAAGCTCTGCGTTTTATTCTCTGTGCATTGAGAAGTCTTTGGAGAATTATCCTGAGAAAGTTAGCCTGTAAATCTTCACATTTCTTACACAGCTGCTGGCCAGCTAGTCCTGGCTGGAAGCATCATGTTCAATAAGGAAGGGCAGCATCTGCTCAGTTCGTAGAATGACATCACTAATGTCATTCTCTGGGAAGGAGAAAATCCAGAGAGGTGCATTAGCTTCATTGAATGGTCATGCTGAGAGATTCTGAAAAATGTCTTTTTAGTATTTTTTAATATTCTTGCCATCAAAAAGTAGTTAATTTTTATAAAATTTCAAATACTATTACCAAATATGTGTGTAAAATTCTGCAGGTGTTTCAACAGAAAAAACCAACAATTTATCTACATCAGTTTAAGAAATACTGACAACTGTTAACAATGAAAAAAAAGAACTACGCCAGAGAATACATAAAATACAAATGATCACTTCAGCAGAAATTTTGTTTTGCTATTGTTTATATTGAATTTTTGTTATTGTTGTCACTTATATTGGATTTTAACATTTAGTATTTAAAATTTTCATTTTCTTGACACGAGCTTAAAACGTAAAAAGTTATTTCCTGCTTTGTTAATGTCATTACTACCTATTCAATTTCCCAAGCTTAAATATTCAAATTTTTTTCTCTCATTCTTCATATTAAAGTCGTCCTACTGGTTTTAGGGAAAACAGAATTTCTGGGAGATGATCACCATTTTTGACTCAATGTAGAAGTTATTAATCAGACATACCCATAAATTATCCTCTCCAATTTGCCAGTAAAACCTTACCTCAAAGTACCATTTAGATTTGAATTAGTGTTCATGGCTAGCAAACAAAAATGTTCCTTAATCCATGTATGAGTTTCTTTTTCTTTTTCTTTTTTCTTGTTTGTTTTTTTTTTTTTTTTGCTTACCAAGAATCTGGAACAGGTGCTCCTGAAGATGGTGACTTGGTCACTTTACAATGTCAGGCTGAGGTCTCTGTCAGGCTCTAGGCTTTTCCTTCACGGACACAGGATGAAGGTTCAGGTTTAGGCTTTTTACACCTGTTTTAGATGGGATAAAAGGGAAAGCCCAAAGGTTAAAAGAGGGCTCTTGCTAACTGAAACTTGCCCCCTTTTCCTGATGAGGAAAAAGCCTCATCACAACTACTTCAGCATCCCAAGCTCCTCTCTGGCCCATCTGCAGAGGCAGCCTATGAAATGTAGTTTTTCACTTGGACATACTTCTGTCCCAGACCTATGGCTACTAAGTAGGCAACACTCAGTCATATTTAACTTAAAAAAATCATCAAAACAGCAAAAATTAAAGAAAAATGTTTTCACTTTGATAGCATATTCTCATGACTAGGTTTTCTTTTTTATAATCTGGTATCATTTTCACATAACTTTTCTACCCTTAGAGAGTTTTAGAAGCCAAGTAAGAAAAGAAATATTGATTTAAGATTATACTTGTAATCAATGTTATTCAAGCAAAAAGACCGATATATGGGTTTTTTTTTTAGAATAATCCAAGGGAGAAATATTTTTCACATTTTCTGTACTTTTAGTGAGCAAGGTAGTTAAGTCCTTGTACTATATACATGAAGAGGCAACATATCAATTGAAAATAGGCTATGAGAAATTAAGAATGTATACCATAAACCCTACAGCACCCACTAAAAAAAATACAGCAAATCAGCCAACAAGGGAGATAAAATGGAGTCATAAAATACACTCAATTTTTTTAAGGGGCAGAGAAAGGTGAAAAGTGCCAATAGGACAAATACAGAACAGCAACATGGTAAATTTAAACCCCACAGTGTCAATAAGCAGTTAAGTATGTTTAGTGTAAACACCCCACCTAACAGTCAGAAATTGTCAGATTGAACAGAAAAGCAAGACCCAACTATATAGACTGCCCAGAAAAACCCACTTTAAATATTTTTAAAATGAGGTTGAGAGTGTAAGGATAGCAAAAGATATACTTAGGTAACACAAATCATAAGAAATCCTGGGTGTCCATATTAGCAGAGCAGATTACAGAGCAAAGAGTGTTACCTGGAAAAACAAGAGTCATTCCCTAATGATAAATGGGTCAATTCAGCAACAGAACATAACAATTCTAAACACTTATGTCCCTAATAACAGATTCAAAATACATGAAGCAAAACTTAGGGATTTTCAAGAAGAAATGGACCAATCTACAGTTTATGCTGGGGATTAATACCCATTAATCAATAACTGGGTTTGCAGAAACAGAAACAGCAAAAATGGAGGAGAATAGAAAAACTCTTATCAACAGCTTGATCTAGATGACATTTAGAAAAGATTCTACAAATGCTAAAACAACCTATATTATCTACAAAGGCACATGAAACATCAACCAAGATAGAACATGTTCTGGGCCCTAAATTAAAGAAATCAGAATAACACAAAAAATTTTGAAGTTAATTCAGAGAAACACTCAGGAAACAGCTATATTGGAAAATAAGAAAGGTCACAAATTAACTCTCTCAGCTTATACACTGAGACTGGAAGAAGGAGTACAAATGAGACCCAGGGTAAGCAGATGAAAGGAAGTAACGATCAGAGTGAAAATCATTGCAACAATACACAACACTGAAAAAAACTCAGGAAAATCAAAAGCTGGTTCTTTGAAAAATTCAATAAAATTAGTAATTCTCTAGCCCATTTAATCAGTAAAAAAGGTAAAATAAAATTACCAGTATCAGGAATAAGACAGGTGATACAACTACAGATTCTACAGATATTACAAGGGTAATAAGAGGATTGTTATGATAACTCTGCCAGTGAACTCAACTTAAGTGAGGTAGACAAACTGAAATTCACAGGAACCAAAGCTCACTCAAAATAAGTGACTTTCAATGACCCTATATCCTTTAAATGAATTGTATTTCTAGTTAAATTCTATCCCACAAAACAAACAAAACCCCATGCCCAGATAGCTTGGGAATTCTTCCCAACATTTAAGTTGGAAAGAATACCAATTTTACACAACTCTCCCCCTCAAAATAGAGAGGAGAGACTACTTTTAAACTTCTTTGAGGTGAGCATTATTCTGAAAGTAAAATCAGACGCAGGCATTACAAGGAAACTATGAAACAATATCCTTCATGAACATAAATGCACATGACATGATCATCTATTTAGAAAATCCCATGGAATCTACAAATTAGCTGCTGGAGCTCTTATGTGAGTTTAGCAATTCTGAAAGAAAAAAAAGATTAACTTTCAAAAACGATTTGTATTTCTTTACACTAGCAATGAAGAGTAAATATGGGAAAGGTGTACAAAATCTATAAAGTGAAAACTATAAAATTTTGCTGAGAGAAATTATAGAAAATCTAAAAAAATAGAGATAAAACACGTTCAGTGATGAAAAGACTCAATGTTAAGATGTCAAATCTCCTCAAGATGATTTCCAAAATAGTACTAACCAATATCCCAGCAAGCTTTTTGGTGGAAATTGACAAAGTTAGTCTAAATTTTGTATGGAAATACAAAATACCTACAATACTCCAAACTACTTTAACGAGAAAAAATATTGGACAAATTATACTATCTGACTTGCAGACTTATTCTAAAGGGACAAAAATCTACAGGTCATTATTATTAACATAAAAGATAGACAAATAGATTTTTAAAAATAGAGTCCAGAAGTAAAGCAACACATAGATAGTAAACTGATTTTCAACATAGGAACATAGTCAATTCTATAGAAAAGAGTTGGATCGTGTTTTCAACAAACTGGGTGTCTATATCCAAAAATGAACTCTGATCAAAATGCAAATGAAAAAAATAATTCAGAATGGATCATTACTTTGGGTTGCAAGTGACAGAAAATGAATAGAAGTAATGTTTAAAAAAAGAACAAACTAAAGATCATAGGATATGTCACTGAATCTGAGGAAGAGTTAAATAGGAAGGTTTCAGAAGGAGTGGGCAATAGAGAGCTCCATGGTCTTGGAAACAGGAATCTGTAGACATCCCTGTGGTGCTTCATCATTAACTTGACTCAGGTTTAAATTCTGAATTCTTCCAAGAAGCAACCTGATGAGCTAATTTGTTCAGGTGATTACTCTTGTTCCAATGAACTGAGTTTGGCATTGGGTTATAAATATTACCACGATAGCTGTCGACTCATTTCTGTAATCCTGTGCATAGTTATGGGGTGGTGAGAGGGGAACTTCTGAGGAAGGGCTACCAAAGCAACTGTTGTATTAATTTCTGGAGAGTGTAATGTTTCCTTACTTAATAATGCAGACTAAAATTTGGAATCTAAGATATGAAAGCTTTAATTGTTTCAAAATATGATCCCAAATTATGTCCATTTGATATCATCCTGAAAATGGAAATTATTATTATGAAAAAATTTGAGAACAAGTAAGCCTTAGTCTGTATTAAAACATATTTTTCCAAAGAGGAATTGTCATCTCAGATATCTATCTATCTGTTAATCTATTATCTACCTATCTATCTTTATGATCAGGTGAATAAATATATAAACTTTAACTTTTTGCAGCTATTTCTGATGCAAAATTATACCCATGTGGCCCTGACGAAATTGAAATTGGAGGTGATTGTGTTCGTAAGTATCACATTTTATGTTTTAATAATGTATTTATAAACTAATCATCTTAACAGGTTTTTATGTTCTGTGACTTACTTTATGTGTTGAATTATGCTAATGTTTGACAATGCCCCAGTCTAATGAATATCAAAAAATAAAAATCACTTTATTATGCCTTTAACAAATAGTCTTGGAGCTAGCAAAGCTACAGAGTCTGGGCATATTTATATCCTACAGATATGTGTGTATATTGATTGACTCTTTCATGAGAAAATTTGCAATTTATCTCAATAGTCTTGAAAGTTCACATGCATTTGTTCCCAGGAATTCCACTTCCAAAAATCTACCTAGAGAAATATTTGAAGTGTGCAAACACAATATTTTTAACAGCATTTTTCAAATAACATAAAAAATAAATTGCAAATATCCAATAACTGCTGATTCAATATTTTTGATGTGTCCATAAAGGTAAAATATCCTGTAAACAATATTAAATGGAGGAATGAATTCTTCGACATTAGTAGTATTCATGGTATATTGTAAGTAAGAAATCAGATTATGCAACACAACCTTATTTTTGTTTTCTAGGGATGACTACATTTGTACCAAGTAAATCTTGAAAGATAAACACCAAAAATGTTAATGGTGGTCACAGTTTTTCCCTCCCTTCAATCTGTATTTTCTAATTTAAATTTTTAAGTTATTTCATCTACGAAACAGAAACAGACTCACAGACATAGTAAACAATCTTATGGTTACCAAGGGAAAAGGGGTGGGAAGGGATAAATCTGGGAGTTTAAGATTTGCAAATGTTAGCCACTATGTACAAAAATAGATTTAAAAAATTTCTTCTGTATAGCACAGGGAACTATATTCAATACCTTGTAATAACCTAGTGAGAAAGAATATGAATGTGAATATATGTATGTATATGCATGACTAGCACATTGTGCTGTTCACCAGAAACTGACACATTGTAACTGTCTATACTTCAATTTTTAAAAAAGTAATTTCAAATATTAAGACCCCCCCCCAACTGTAACAAATCACTGTTAATAGATTGCCTAATAAAATTCATGATGCCTACCTAAATAGCGGGCAGAAATTAAAATTACTGAAACATTAACCCCTTTGGGGGGCCTGTTAACCAAATATATTGATGATGATATGGTGAAACACTGAATGAATGAGGAATTGTTGACATATCATTAATATAATTGAAGGTGGTTTTAAAGGTGAAATAAACCATAATGACATAAAACCAGAATATACCATGGTACCAGGTATAAAAATTATTATGCTTTGTCCTTAAAAAGTACTATTAGAATAATTCTCACAATAAATCATTTTTGAGTGGTTTTCTGTGTCCAATTCCATTTATAAAGGATTTTTCAGCCCATTTTTCTAGTGCTTTCTTAACAAGTTATTACTTTATCTTAAAGTCTGTTCAATTAGTTGCGATCATAAAGAATAAAACAATATCCTTAATAACAGCAACATTAACCATGAAGTGTAATTGTTTGGATATTCTGCATTATAACTTTGGATTTTCTTTATCAAACACATATATTACAGTAAAATCACTTCTCTCCTTGAATAAGCAGTGAATTTTAGCTACTGTTTTGCTATTCAGAATGTTTATGCAATTAATTAGAAAAATTGCTGTATAAAATCATACACAATTTGGGAAAGTAACACTTGAATGAAAATACTGAGTCAAAAGTCAAGAGATAAAGCTTCAGGATAAAACAGAAAACTTATTAACATATTTAGCACATGCTAATGTTAGAACTGACAAAGTGATAATAATTGTGCTTTTCAAGCAGAAATAATTTATCTGTTGTTGTTTTTGAAACCTTTTTCTTTAAGTATATTTGAACGACTTTCTTTGATCTACATTGTTGCTGGCAACGATCAGGCTACTTAGATAGCTGATACCATTTAAAATATTGATTCAAAAAAATTAATTTCATAAATTTTTTTTCAGTCATTTATTATCTCTTATTCCTAATAATTATTTTCATTGATAGTGCCTCCCAGTTTTGAAATAAGTTCAACTTCTTTTTCTTAGTTTATTTAAGAAAAAATTTTTACTCAGATAATGGAATTTTTAAAAAATCATATATAATCAAAAATAGTCTTATTTCCTTCAAATCTAGATACAATGTTCTGGTCTAATGTTTAAAATATTTAGCAAAATATTTATTACTTAGATTAATTTGAAAACAATTCATTTGTTATTGGGATTTTGTAATTCGATATCTAACAAAATAACACTTTAAAATATTTGAAAGTACGTAAGGTTTGTTCCCCTCATATTAGGCTCAGGTCTCAGAATTTTCCAAAATCTACATGACAGAATTGAAAAAAAAATTTTCTTTCTGATTATCATAAAATTACAACATATATCATAGAAAAAATATTTCTATATTTTAGCACACTTCTAAAATCTTATTTTTAAAATTTATCACTCAGATATTTTTCTCTTTTCTAAAACAGAACAAAATAAATAAAAAATTCATTTAGATGCATTTTTGAGCCATAGATTTAATCTTGCAGATGCCCAAAGATAAAAATTATAAAATCTTCCTGAGTTTCCAGAGGAAACTTCAAACCTTTTTAACCTGAGAAAAAATTAAAAGAGTAAGACTATTGTTTAACACTTAATATGTTTCACTAAGACAGAATAATCCCTTCCAGAATGAACAGCTCTTTCAACAGAGAGTAATGATGCATTGAGTTATCAGAATAACTTATAAAGTAAAATAGTAAGTCACTTGATTTTTTATTGTAATGACTATTCTTCTTTATAACAAGAATTCGTAATGTAGAAAACTTTAATTTTGTTTGTTCCAGTTTTTTAGAAAAGATAATTGCTTAAAAGAAGGTACATTACTTTTCTATTCAAGAGCTAGACTTTTCAAGAGTAGTCATATTCAACATCATTAATATAAGCTTGATGAGCTGAAAAATTACTATCAATATTTATATGATTATCAGTCAAGATAAAAATGTGCTACTTTGCTAACTGCTAGAGAATAATTATTTTTCTAAATGTATTTTATTTTTCCTTAATATAAATCCTCAAGTTACAGTTTTCATGAGCTGTCCCTTGTAAGTCAGTCTCTTGTCTTTAAGATGCCCGAGTGAAAACCATGCGTTTTCTCCCACCAGGTCAGCTGTCGGCCTCACTGCCACCACCACCTCCAGGAAGGCCAGAGGTTGTGGTGGAGCTGATTGAGTCCAGGCTTTTCTGTAGGTGTGCTTTTGATGTTTCCCCTACAAACAACTCAGTGGGATTTCTCATAACTTGGTCTAGGCTTTCTTCTCAAGAAATCAAAGAGGAGCTGAAACAAGAGACCACAGTTCAGGCATTCTCTCTTTTAGAACTGGATGGCATAAACCTCAGACTTGGAGACAGGGTATGTTCATACCGAGTTGAGTTTTCTTTTATTTTCATAAATGTATTAATTTTCAAAAATGGACTTTAAAATATATTCTAAAATTAGCTTTTGTCCCCAGAATATAAGCACAATGCTTTCATTTTTATTTTTTTCTTGGCAGCTGATCTAACTCCAGTGACAAATGGATGAGTCAGCAATCTTAGTTACCCTGTACGAATATCTTCTTTTAGCAATATACCAGTTATTATCAATGAACTTTAATGAATTTGTCTTCTTCTGGTTTTAAAATGATACATTTTTATTCCAGAAAAAAAAGTTTTTATTTTTTTCAATGATAATATCATTTATTATCCACTTTAACATATATCTTAAATACAAGGTCTACAACACTGATTTATGTTGAGGTTTGAATAATTAATATTTTATAATGATGGAATTTTTCTCAATTTTCAAGTAAGTTTTTAAATTATTTTGTTTTCTATTATATCTTATGCCATATCTCTCAAAAAGTAAAATTAAGTACTTAAATATAATAATTTCCACATATTTCCTCCAGAATTATATTGCTAAATGATTGTTTGTTAACCATATTCATAGATATTTTGCAGTGCTTCCATCTTTTACTTGGAGAAACCACATGTACAAAGTTTAGTCATCGAAAGCCGAGAATTTTTTGCAGGCATTAAGGTATGTAGCAATGAGGATGGATTTGAAAAATTATTCTACTGGAATTGTGTTTTCTATACTGTGACCTGTGGATGCTGGTTCCAGGACCTCATCAGAGACATCATGAGACCCAAGAGTTTGTATTTTTGACAGATAACTCAAATAACTCTAGTGCCAGTGAGGTTTGAGGGTCTGTTAATGGACTAAAGTTGGAATATACCAGCATTTTTTTTCACAAATATCTCAGAGTAGATTAAAGCAAAAATCCTGTTTCCATAATTAATTCTATCATGTATCCAAAAGTTAGAGTATCAAAATTTATTATGCATTTTGGAAGACATGTACCAGGTCAGGTACTAGAACCTCTGGCTAGAGTAGAATTGACTGAGAAATCTAGGCTTTATGCATAAGATAGCAAAGATTGAACTAACTAAACAAGATAATATCTACAGTCACTGCTGGTAGCACTGGGGTCCAAGAACTAATGAGCTATTCCAGCAGATAAGCAGCAGTGACAGGGAACCCACAGGTGATGGAAGGAGTGTGGCCAGTATCAAGAGGTCTAGGCAGGCAAGCACTGTGCACCCTCTGAGGTCTCAGCCACGGACTGGAGTTTGACCTGAATTCATCTCTAGTTCAAGGATAAGACAGGATCATTCACAGACTGAAGAACAGGACTTAGAACCAGGGCAAAACCTGTTTCTGGATAAAGTCCATTTATACACTATAGGGAGCAGAGAGAGAAGTGAGGAGATTGAACTATGTTGTCATAACAGCATAAAGCATAGTGGGAGTGGAAGCAGAGCTCAGACCCTGGGAGTCTGAACCTTGGCATCTACACTGGTAAGAACTCAGCAGACAACATTAGTGTGAGTGGTCGGCCCACAGGTACTGTTCCTATGCTGGGCATTGGTGGTTCAGTAGTAGAATTCTCGCCTGCCCAGGTACTGTTTCTGATTAGGCTAACAGGGAGAATATTGAAAACCATCTGTTTTGAGAGCCAGCCAAGAACAGAGACTGCATAAAAATTCTGACCTCAACAAAGGACTGACCTGTGAACTGGGACAGGACCAGTCCTAGGTTTCAGTACTCAGTAAACCCAACTGTGGAGAGCAGAGGCTGAGAAATAAGCTAAATGTTGGGACATTTCATGTGACAATAATATTTTGATTTATGTATGAAAATACTTAGATTTCTAATTGATACTAGGGATGATATTAATCCCTAAGAATAAGTAGAATATTCCACTGGTGTGTCAGTAAACCTTGGCAAACAAATGGAAGAATATAGGAGCACTCCATTCTCCAGTGCCCACCATGAGCCAGAATCACTAAGGCAGGCTCCAACCGGAGTGCCTAACATGTGCTAGGGAACCAGTTTGTGTCTAAACTCAGAGCATTACAGTGACTCCATGTACTCTTCTGTTCGCTGCTGATGTTTTTAAGGGTTTGGTTTTAATCGATCCTGTATAATTCAAAAATTCTAGTGCTTAAGTTATTACTACCAGCTCATTTAGCAAAATATGAGCTATTGAGGAAAAAATGCCCTTTCAAAATTATTGTACCTTAGAAATAAATTCTATTGAACATGACTGCTCTGCATATTTTCTTATACCAGTTACAGCCTGAACTGAGCACTATATCGGAAGATGGGAAAGCATACAAGCTGAGGGTGGAGAGCACAGTTCCTGTCGTTTGTCCTGAATTCAGTGACCTTGATCAGGAATGCAAAATCTCGGTAAAACTGACCACTGTTGATCAAGGTAACATACTAAATCCATTTAATTTTATTACTACATTTCAAAAAGTAACTAACGCTTTTTTTTTCTTCCAGAAAGTCATTGGAATGTACTCATGTAATTAATCATGTTGCATGTTTCTATCAAACTAGAGCTCAACCATGTTAATAATACTGGACCAAGTTTATGATAGCCAAAGCAGTCTATTTCACAGTCCACATTTATCCCCCCTGGGCTCAAAGCACAAATTAGAAAGAAAAAACAATGCTGAAACAATCTCCTCCTTTTCATTATCTTTCTTCTCCTTTGCCTCTTCCTCCTCTTCCTTCTCCTTTTTTATTCTCTTCCTCGTCCCCCCTGTTTTTTCCTCCTCCTTCTCTTCATCTTTCTGCTTATTCTTCTCTTTGTTTTATTTTCAGAGATTGAGGGGTTAATTGCTCTTCAAGATTTTCCAAATCATCCCTCATGGGGGAGGTGTGATTAAGTTATACTAAAAGTTCATGCTTATGCAACATGGATCTCATAATGCATACTTCACACTTCACTCCCTAATGTAAGCTCATGTTTGAGGTTTTTGTGTTTTAAAATTCTTCCATTTAAGTTACTAGTTATATATATTTTATGATACATGGCCACATAAATGTCCACTGTTACAGCCACAACGAGAGCTAAAATTCTGCCACAGAACAAGATAGAATATGAGAGGACAACCCATGTGCAGCCATGATTGGGTTGGTTGGGTTCTTTTTTTCCCCCAAGCCTCCTGTGTAGAGGCCAAAGCATGTAAAAGATACATAAATTAAGATATAACTTTTAAGATAGATTATAATTCTGTTCACATACCTTTTCACCATAAGGCATAAAATTTTATTTAGTAAATACAAATGTATCTAAGTCTTCATGTCTGTATTATACCTAATTAAATCAGAGAAACAAAAGGATTAAAATGCTAAGGAGAGAGAGTCTCATGGGAAGGATGTGCCCAGAAAAAGAGATGGATACAGGGTGAGAAAGGAGAGACAATCCCGGCATGTTTGACAGGCACCAGGGTTAGATAACAGCCAGCTACTCACTCAGCTTTCAGGAGCCCCACGAGCAACACTTCATTTTGAAGTACAGCCCAGAAATATGAAATTAAATGCTCTCTCTCAAACTGTTTGACACAGTTCTACTTCAGACTACCTCTGAAAAGCATAGTAAACCAATTTTACTACAGTTTGTGGGGGAGAATAGGAAACAGATGATGTTATTGACATATTTCAAAATTGTGTTAAGCAAAAGATTTCCTTCCAAATATACTTTAAACTGTATTTCATGCACTCAGTTCTTTCAACAAGATAACCATTGCTATCATAATATAAAAACAACCTAAATACATTCCTACATTTTAGAAGTTTGCATGTTCTGATCATTTGTCAATTGAAAACAATTTCCTTTTTGGGGGGAAAATTTCTGGATTTCATTCTGATACTCTTTATCTTATCTTCTTTAAGCGTATTTTCATTGTATCTTGACTTCCATAGAGAACAAGTTGGTGTTCCCTAGTATATTTCTACAGAGACAATGCTGCTTTTTCACAGGCTTAAAGAGAACAGCACCTGGCCCTCATACCATGTACCAGGGGAATGATGTCAGGATTCTATCTATGCCAGATATATTCCATATCCACCTTAGGGAGCTAGTTAAGAGTTTGGATGTTTCTGTTATTTTTTATGTGTATGGGAAAAAAGTGCATGAAGAAAAATTTTGTTCAGGAATTTTGAATCTAGTGCAGTGTACCTATGTCAGACCAATGTAATTTTATACCTGAAAGAAAGTGTTTAATGACTTCTTTCTTCCTCCTTGATGTCAGATGGACTTTGTAGTCATTCATTGGATGTGAGAGCAAATTCTTTTGTTGCCAGTTTTTAGAGGACTCTATCCTTTTTGTTTAAACAAATCCCTGGAGTTCTTTTCTTTTCTTCTGTTATCATTTTCTTTCCAAATTATTTTTTTTGTGTGTGCTCTTTGTTCCATAGATAAGAAAGCTTCTCATAGTTCTGAATATATTAGGACATTTGGGAGGTGAAAGAGGTAGTAGGTTATTACTCAGTTGGTTTTGATTTTTCTGTTTTTTAAAATGATGAACTCTGTATTAATAATTAAATCTGTTTGATGAACTCTGTATCAGTGATTGCTGGTATCACTCAATGGATAGAACATGAGTTCAAGTCCTAAGACATATCTGGACCCAAGGCCTAATTATTAGGCAGAAAATGGTTAATTTATGTTTCTTAGTGTTAGAATTATAATTTTTTTTACAGAAACAAAGATAAATTTAATATTTCTTCTGAATTTTATCCAGGTGCATATGGATTTATGACCTATTGAAAATAGTTATATATATATATATTTATGTTGATTAATTATTTGTGAAGATCAGGTAGAGTTCAATACACTTGGTTTCATTTAGGCAAATATTACAACCATAGCTTCTAAGTAATCTCTCAATTCAGTGTTCTGTGTTAATCGAGTCATGAGATGCTTTGTTGGGTATATTCTCTTAGGAAAAATTTCCATGTGTTTTTCATTAAAATAGGCAAAGAACATCTAGGCTTAAATTTGGCACTGTCTTCCTGCCACGTGGACCTTCACCGGACATCATCCTGTGTTAATGGAACATGCAGCCTTGCTTTTGTGTACTACACTGCTGTAACAGACTTTTCTCGAGATGGAAATAGAGTTACAAGTATTGTAGTGGAACCTATAGTTAGTGACGATTTCCTGTGGAACAGCTACATTCCAGACAGCATCCAGGTTAAGAAATTACAAAAATACCTTTATAAACGAAGCTTTAAAAAAAAAGATATGTGTATTTTATCACTATACCTTGTAAACGTTTCATTTCAAAATTATTTAATATGCTATTTCAGTTTTTAAATGATTCCATTTTCAGTAACTTTGATAAACGCAATAGTTAATTGAAAATTCATTGCAATTGCTAGGAAATTTACTGTATATCACTAAATAACTACTAATGGTAATATTTACTGACAATTTCTTTGCTTTTAAGATCAGAGTAAACGATGTCCCAACTGCTTACTGCTATTCATTTACTGACCCACATATAATTACCTTTGATGGCAGGTAATTTCCTGAAAGTTTTTTCTCTTAGTAGTTTGTGTTTCTTTTGGATTTTGTTATTTTGTTTTAAATATCATATTATTTCTACATGATACTTAAATAATCTTTAAGGTTTAGGCAAGATGATTAAACTAACATATTATAATCATTTAAAAAACTAATCACTTCTAATTCACTGCAAGGATACTCAGGGGAAATTTTAGCCATCATGAATACCTGGCTATCTACCTTTGGAACTTAAAGTAAAATGAGCAAAATAACCAAAAAGCAATCTAAGCTATCTTGCTATTAATAGCTGCAATAGAAGGATTTAAACTCAGTTATTCTGTTCTGGGGAATACATTTTAAGATGTCGCTATAGAAATAATAAGAACACCTCATTGTTGAATCATAATTTCCCCTATGAAGCAAAGTAATTTATTCTTTTAAAAATTGTAATGTGATCACTGTTAGTAAAATTATTCAATAGGAGCTAATAGATATAGAACCTCTCCAATAACAAATGAAATTCCAAACGTTTGAACAACTATTGAAAAGTTGTAGCAACTGATCCCACATGCAAGATCCTTTATGGTTATAATCAAAGGCTTAGAAATTTCAGTGGAAAAACCTCAAGAAGGCATAATGGTGATTAATTTGTTATAATTCATCAAGATTGTGCAATACTTAAGTGACAAACCCTGTTCTAACTACTGGAGGTATGGCAACAAACAAAACAGACATCCATTCCCTGCTCACATGGAGCTTACCTTTGTATGGGTGAAGAAGTGTACACAATTAATAAATAAAAGATACAGTGTATCTGAGCAAATGGGTACTATGAAGAAAACTAAAGCAGTGGCCAAAGAGAAGGCTGACAGGAAGGACTGACAAGTGATGAAAGAGAAGGAAAGAGCAGTGAGAGGTTTAGGTGTCGATCACGACTTTGTTTCATTCGGTACTCTACAAATAATTGCCTGCAGTATATAAAGCTATTAGAAACATAGATTTCTTTCATTTTTGCATCAAAATATATTGAATGTGTATAAATTAATATACATTTTGGTTTGTATAATGTAATCGACTTTTGTTAATGATAGGATGTATGATAACTTCAAGACTGGAACGTTTGTGCTTTATAAGAGTATGTCACGTGATTTTGAAGTCCATGTACGTCAGTGGGACTGTGGAAGCCTTCACTATCCTGTGTCATGTAACTGTGGCTTTGTTGCCAAAGAAGAAGGTGATGTAGTTTCTTTAGACATGTGCAGTGGACAGCTACATGAATCACAGCCATATTTATTTGTAAAGAGCCACGACATAACCAGCAATATCAAGATAAGTGAATCTTACTTAGGAAGAAAAGTCACAGTATGTATAATTCTTTACTGTTAAAAGTATTTTTCATTTTTTATACAGATTTTGGATTCAAGTCTTGAGTTTCTTTTCATCTCTACTAAATTAGGAACCATTATTTTTCAGTATGAGTTTTTTCAAGAAAATAGCTTTCAATTAACACTGATCTTAGAAGGAATACAATTTTTTTCACTTACCACACACAGACAGACACAACATAGTTAAAACTGTCAAGTCTAAAGTGTCTTAAGATTTCAGTATGATAACCTGGTGGGTTATTCATAAAAAATATTTTTGACAGTGCCTAATAAACGGTATATTAGGTGAAGATAACATATATAATTAAGAATAAATATTCAGGAATAGCTAACCTATTTTTGAAATGAATACAGATGGTCTGCCTCAGGAATAAACTGGTAGATGCACAAAAGGGATTAGAAAAATCAAGAAACAGATCCAAGATTATATATTCATTAATATTTTTAAAAAATACTTCATATTTGTGAGCTGACTGTTTGCATTCTAAGATTATCTTTCTTTTATCTCCCAAAAAACTTCCAGGTGGATAAAATTGTAATTTAAATGAAAGTAGTAGAAAATGCAGGAGAATGTGTTTGTAATATTGAGATGAACAATCATTTTTGACATAACTTTCTATACTTGAATTCCATCATCAAAAAACAAAATGCAAATCACAAGCTGGGAAAATATTTGCTACATATAAAACATACAGTTAATGTAGAAAACACTCAACTATCACTAACGTATAATCAGCACTCCAGTTAAAATGAGCAAGTAATATAAACAGGCAGTTCACAAAAGAAATAAAACTGACAAATGTCAAAAAGTACAAATAATCAACAAAAATACAAAAATCTCAGCCTCATTAGTTACCAAAGAAATGCAGAGCAAACGCTTCTCACACAGTATTGGCAAGAAGAAACAGTTACAGCCTTTCCAGAGGACATATTCGTATATAATAAATTGAATCTGTGCATCTTTCAAGAAATTTTAACTATAACTCAATAAAAAAAAGTAAAAAAATTTTTACTTCTAAAAACTTATCATAACAAAATAATTGAGGATGTGCAGAATCCCAGTGGTGTTCATTGCATTTCTCCAAGAGAGAAAAGTTACAAGTAATCAGGGATGAATGAAAGAGCTTAACCAAAACCCTAAATATAGTAACATCACATAATAGGTTACTTTTAAGTCATGAAAATTTCGGAATAATTGGATATTTATTGATAAGTAAAGATACTAATGGAATATAGGAGATGTTTTGAAAGAATTTGCACCAAATATAGTAGCTACCTCAGACTGAGTAGTAATGTAAGGTTTGTTTGCCTTTTAAATAATTTTCTGTAATGAACACTTACCATTTTTATAAAAAGGAAGAAAATGCTATTTTTCAATTAAAAAATTTAAGAGGGGGAGGAGGGACAGAGGAACAAACACAGGTGGCATATTTTCAGTGATTTTCAATAGACATCCAAGTCCCGGATCTGGGAGAGGTGAGCCTCCTGTGAGGAGGATCCTAGTCAGGTAACACGGATGATTCAACAAACCCTGTGCTCTCCTTCCCAACTCCCCAGGCAAGTTTCTGGTATAATTTGGCTTCTGATTCTGTTTACCTACTGGCTGCAAGAGAATGCTGGTTAACCACAGGAATATATACCCCTCCGGAATTACATTTATCTGTGTAAATTAATTACTTGGCCGTCTAGGTCTATATTAAATCATTATTATCAGAGGCATTACTTGGTAAACATTATCCTCAGGATTTCTAGCTGTTTTAATTATAAAATATTTACTTTAGTTTAAATTATTTAAAGAAAGGGGTGTAAACAAAATATCTCAATGAAAGGATCAATGTGGAGACCAAATTTTAAGCCAGCAAAATGCAAAGACTCTATTTTGACATATAGTATTAGAAGGAAAGTTGTGGTCTGTTCTATTCTCTTTTTATATTAAAGGAATAAATTAATTTATTTCTTAAATACTAGTGTTTTCCTTAATCGATACTGCATATTGTTTAAACATCTTTTATTTCTGTATTTCAGATCTGGTTTTCTTCTGGAGCATTTATCCGTGCTGATCTTAGTGAATGGGGCATGAGTTTAACAATCAGAGCCCCTAGTTTAGATTACAGAAACACTTTGGGACTTTGTGGCACCTTTGATGAAAACCCAGAAAATGATTTCCATGATAAAAATGGGATCAAAATTGATCAAACTTTTAATAACTGTTTTGCTTTTATTAATGAATGGAGGTAAGAAAGCAAATTATTTTCATTTGTTATTGTATTAATATTTGACTTAAAGTGAGTGGTGAGTGACTCAATACCCTGCTTTTTTTGGTGGGGGGGGCAACACATTAGTGAGAAAAAAATGTTCTTGTCCAAATTACTGTTCTTTTCTGTTTTCCATCTGGAAGGATATTGCCAGGAAAAAGCATGTTTGACACAATGCCAATTTCTCCGCCATCACCTACAAAACTATCCTACTGTAGCTGCTCATTGAACACTCCTTCATTGTATCCATCTTCTAATCATCTGGATAGTGCTTCTCAATCAGAAATTGGATCCGCTTGCAAAGACCCTAGATATGTCCAATTCTCTTCCTTAATACCAGAACTAGATGTCACCTCTGAATATATTAATTCAGAAACTCTTGTCAGAGGAATAAATAAGCGTAAGTCTCAGGAAGAAAATAATTTAGATTTCTTTCTTCAAGAAAAAAAGTATGTGAACCTAACCAATCTGGACTTAAATTTACAAAAACATCCTGACAATGAAAAAGAAGATGCACCAAAAGCTTTGGACAAGGGGAGACATACACAGGAGCAGGGTAATCACAGCCAAGAAACAAGCTGGGATCAACAAAACAGAGGGAAACAGCAAAACTTCCATGAGTTTCTTCCATTGTTCGCATTCCAAAGTCTCAGCCAAAGTGACCTAGAAGAGTTTGCTTACTTTTTCCCCGAGGACCACACTGAGGACATCCACCAAGAGTTTGTCCCCACGTGGCCCACACCATCTGGCCTCACCGAACACAGCACGTTGGCACTGTGTCAGCAGACTCTTGCCAATTCCAGCATAGGAAGGCTCTGCCTTGCCTTTCTTGGTAAGAGACTGGACAGTGTTATAGAGATGTGTGTTAAGGATGTTCTCCTAAAAGATGACCTTAGCTGGGCAGAAGCAGGTGTGGCCCTTTTAGAAAATGAATGTGAAAAGAGGATTTTGGAAGAGGGGAGACGTAACAGAAAAGAATACAGCAAGTCAATTGAAGAGATTCTGTTGGTATTAAAATGCCCCAATTTATGCAGTGACCACGGGCAGTGTATGGAATGGGGGTGTGCATGCTCCCCAGGCTTTAGTTCCTATGATTGCAGTGATTCGCACGGTAGGTAAATACTCTCCAACTTTGATATTGTGTATGTTATTTGATTATGAAAACTTTGTTCTTTTATAGCTTCAGTATCTTAACAGGCTTTATTCAGCTTATATACAGAAAAGAACTCAAATTATGTTAATTAATACGTTAATAATTTTCCAGCAATGTCTCATTTTACTCAGAGTAAAAGCTGAAGTCCTTATCACAGCCTATAAGACACAGCGTGATCAGGCACACAGCATCTCTTGAGACTCATCCTCTGTTACTCTCCCTGTGGCTCATTCCACTCCACCCACTTTGGTTTCAGCGCTGTTCCTTAAAATGCCAGGTTCTCTTGCCCCCAGGGCCTTTGCACATAGCTGGTCCCTCTACTTGCAGAGAATAATCAGTTTCTTCAGAACTCAAATTTTAGTATTTTCAAGCACAGTGTTCATAGTATTTTCCTAATTACACTAATTCACTTAATTTTTCTCTAACTTATCTAAAATGTACAAATTATTTTGTCCCATTATATCACAGAAAGACACTTGAAAAAGTCAATTTGATTCTGTTAACCACTAAACCAATAACTCCTAATTTTCTTACTACCACCACCAACCTGCCCTTTTCCATCTTAATAAATGCAAGCTTCATTCCTCTAATTGTTCATATTAAAAATTTGTAGTCACTTTGACTTTTCTTTTTCATTCATGCCTTATGTTTGATCCATTAGCAGCAAATCCAGCTCTAGCTTCAAAAAATTTCATCTCCTTCCCTGTTACGAACTTAGTCCAAGACACTGTTACCTCTCACCTGGATTATTATAGATTCTCTCAGTTTTTTTTTTCCATGCAGCAGCTAAAGTGATCCCTTGGAGATGCAAGTCACATCATATTACTCCTCTGCTTAAGTCCCTCTATTGGCTTTTCATCTTAGGAGTAAAATTCACAGGCCCTACCATGGCCTAGAAGATTGTATGTAATCTGAGACTCCTCTCTCACTGAATTTATTTACCATTCTCTCCACAGGTAATTACTTTCCAGTATTCACAGTGGTTGCTTTGCTCAAAAAGGGCAAGCCTGCTTCTACCTCAGGACCTTTGCACTATGGCTCCCTCTCCCTGCAGAGCAATCTTCTATCACATATATTCATGACTAACTTCCTTCTCTATTCAAATATCATATTATCAGAGAATCCTTCCATTTTAAATAAAATAGTTTTTCTCACACAACCCCATGGCCTTTATCTTCCTTAACAGAGTTAATACATTTTTCTTCATTGCCTTGAAAACCCTTACATAGTTTACTTTATTTTTTCATTTGCTTATTTTTGTCTTCTCATATTAGAATGTAAGCTACGTGAAGTCAAGGACTTTGTTGTGTTTATTACCACATCTCCAATCTCCAGAATAACACTAGAAAAACAGTAGTTGTTCAATAAACGTTTGTTGAATATAGGAAAGAGAAACATGTTTTTTTAATTTTCATAAATATTTCAGGGTTCTGAATACACATAATTTAGGATTTTTATATCCTACCGCTAGTAAAGCTATTTCACCTAAATTTTGCCAATACTTAGATAAAGGACTCGATTACTTTTATATCGCATTTGTCTATTTTGACAAACAGATCTTGCTGATAGAGATAATGAATGATCTTACCAAAACCAGAACCACAGATGTAACCATGTGAAGGTCAGTTAATTCTGACTGCCAAAAGAAATTTTTTTCTCCTCGGACTGAGAAGTACACCTAGGATAATGGTAGTATGTAGGATAGCAATGATAAATTAAAGTATCAGCAATACTGGAACAACAGCATGCCCAAAGTTTGATAATTGTTTTCTAAAGCTTAAATGAAGATTTTTTTTAATTTTAATACATTGCATGGCTAACTAGACTATCTTATGACAAAGGTTTTTTTTTTCCTATAAACTGTCTATATAACACAAACCAAAATGCAAAACCAAAACATAGGCCATTGTAGTAGTAATTTGTTAATACTTGTACTTATTTGGTATCAAATATTATTGAAACATTAAATAAACCTGTATAATTAGGCACTGGTGGTATCTGTAATGCTATTTTTATTGGTTTGAATAGTAGGTAACACTTCTTTTAATATCAGATTACTCTTAACATGTAATAGTTTAATTAATGTGCTAATTAATATTTGGGGTAGACTTTAAAATACTATGTTGCATATGCTTTTAATTTTAGTCTTGAAAATAATTAGCTTTTTTTTCTGGAAGTAGAGAAGATATGTCCTAGTTTTTAATCTTTTCTTCCAAAGACAGGATTCCTGAAATTATAGAACTTGAAAATGCTGGATTCTGTAATATTCAAAAACATGACTGTATGATGGTGAGAGTTTTTGGTCTAGGCTTCAAAGAATCGCCTTCAATTAAATGTGAGGTGACTAAACTCCAGGTATGTTAATTATAGTGGTGAAAACAACTAAGTTTATGAGTTAATCAGATTGATTTTATCTTAGATTAATTTGGAGTATCAATTAGCAAGATGATCCCAAAGGATGTTGTATCCTCTCAGAGAGCTGAGCAGGAAAATTATTAAGTTGCTTAACCTTAAAGATTCCTTACTTGTTAACTGTATTAAACTGTTTTATATCACTTTTATTGAGGTATTGGCTCACTATTTCAGTTATAATAAGAAATTAAAATAATATCAAATTTGAAATGTAAGCTTCTGTATTTATTGAAATGTAAATTCACAAAGAATGGAGGCCATCTTTATCTAAGACACTGTACATGAATTACAGGATACAGAGAAATGAACAATTTCCTCTTACAAACCAAATAGTGTTTTTCTTTCTTGAGGCCACAAAAGACAGACATGATCATTCAGTTTGAACATTAGTGTATCAAAATATATCTTATTTTTTATGATTATTTACAGGGTATTCCTTTATTCACGTGAGAATTTGTTTTAAGGAAAGTGCTTTGAATTTAGAAAGTTCTTATTACATGGATAAGCTGAAAACTTAAAACAGTAAATCATATTTTTAGCATTCTTTTTACTATGTCTATAAATTGATTATGAGATTGAGAATTTAAGAGGGAAATAACTTTAATATGTGTCTTTATCAAATAGTTATACACAAGAAGTATGCTTATTTCAAGATTTTATGAGCAGAGCCTTTCTAAATGAGCCATGAAATATTTTAACCCCAATGAAATAATGAGACAATAGAAAATGTATGTATAATTTCATCACTTCAGTATTTCTCGAGAATAGTCATTATATTGTTCTTGGCAGAATAAACCATATGACATGACATTACAATTAAGTGATTGTCAAGAGAGAAGTTCATATGTTTATATTCTCTTGGAAAGTACATTTTGTACTTACTTTAAGAAATATTTTTTGCTGTAATATTTTTTCTCATACTACTTCCTTTCTCCAAATATCTGATAGATAAAGAGTACAATCTGGAATTCTCTAACGCTATACAGAACTATAGAAAGAAAGAAAATATATTCATTAGCCAAAACCAAAATTACCCAGATTAGCTATTTTCTTTCCCACCCTGTTCAGAGTGTTAATATATTTTATTTGTAATACAATTAGATTTATTTTTTAGTATTTGTATTCCATTTTAAATTTCCAGCACATTCTGGTTGATTTTAGTTATATACTTACTTGGGTGGTTTATTCCACATTTAGCGTAGGCTCCCCAAAGAGAGGGGTGGAAATAGGCCCTGTATTTCCAGTCGTTGCCTGGAGTCTTGTTTCAGCACATGAAACCAAGAGACACTGCACTCATCTAAGTGTCAGTGTCATGGCTACCCTGAGACACTGTTACCAGTCCCCTCTGCTGGAGGGGAACCACTGGTGTATCTCTCAGCCCAGTCTACATACCCCCTCAAATATGGAGATTTGTTCTGGTGCTCACTCTTTCACAGGATAGTTTCTACCAGCCACAGACTAGGGTGTTACTGCCTTCCTTTTCTTTTTCCTGCTGACTAACTATATTGAAGCATCAGCATGCTCCTTTCCATTTCTAAGAAATAACATTCTACAGCCATAAATTTTTTAAAAATCTAAATTTAAATTTTGGTGATAAAATACATTCTTTTAGTTTTCTTTGTAGTTACCAGTACCCAGAAAATTATTCTTGCTTTTCTTCTTTAGACACCAATGCATTTCAATGCTGAAAAATAGTACTTAAACTGTAAATCAAGTATAATATGCCAATGAGTTATTAAACAGGGTGAATTGGTTAGAATTTATTTAGTTTCAGGATACATGAATTTACTTAAATTAGCTTGAGCAAAAATGGTATCTATTATGAGGATAGTGCATTCTTCACAGAATCAGGGTAAGAATGTAGTTTCTGAATTCTCAGGAAAAGTCTTAAACTTAGGACTCGAACACCACACTCAGTATGCCTGCATTTGTGTATGTGTGTATCTGTCTGTCACAATTCCACTTTCTTTCTTTGTGGACTTCATTTCTCCCTTTCACTAGATAATGAGCTTACTCCACATAGTGAAAAACATGGACACCAACAGCTCCTTAATTTTTTATCTTGCAACTAAAGCCACCAGAGGCAGACTGGACCAACATCCCTTCTGATACAAAGTTAAAATATCCTAAGTATTTGAAGCATCGGCTTGGCTTAGGTCCACCGCTGGACCAGTCAAGTGTAGTCGGGAGGTGGGTCATATAAGAACATGAGAGGGCCTATGAGAACCATGAAGATGGAGGCAAAAAAAAGGGCAGTTTCAAGACAAGATAGCAGCAAGAGAAACGAAGGATTTTCTGAACAGAAAATCAGTCTGCTGTCAACTATATAATCAAATGTTTCTTCTTGCTGCAAAACTCATTGCATAGTGATTCATCATATATGGCCAATATTGGTTTGATTTGAACCCACAAGAAATGCGTGAGTCATTAGAAGCTGTTTACATCAAATTAGGATGCATATGTTTTTCATTATTCTGAATAAAACTCATTGTTGGTGTCACATTTATTTCTTCATTATATATTCCATTATACCAGGCATGTATTTTAAAATTTGCATTTTGATTATATGTAATTCACTATCAAAGTAGTTCCATAATCTAACAGAGGTTAATTGCTTTCTCATTATGCCTTCAGTATAATAACAGTAAATGGATCCTTGGAGAAGCCATCTATGCACATACTATTTTTCAAAATAGCAGGACTGTTGATTGTCAGCTGCCCACCGATGTTGAGCAGCCTGGTACCATGCATCTGATGGGTGAGATGCCAATTGTGAAGTGGCAATTAAAGGTAAAAGAGAAAAGGTAGACTCATATTTATAAACAAAGTAAATACTTAGGTATTAAAATTTCATAATGAATTTGTGAAACTACACTTAGAACAAATTAGCTTATTATGGAACTATATCCATCTTACAGGTATCTAATGATGGTTATAAATTTAGTAATCCCAAACTAATGACCATATATGATGGGGCTTGTCAAGTTTGTGGTCTCCATGAAAAGGACTCGTGTACTTTAAAGGTATGTATCTTTCCAGTTATTTTCACATTTACATCATAGGTATTTTCATTTCTCTTGCTGTTGGCATATTAATGTGGGTTTTCACTTTCATATCAGAAATACCAATAGAGAAAAGCCTTCCTCAAGTTTATGCAAAGGTAATCAAAATTGTCCCTCTGTCCACTACTCTTGTTGAAAAGACAAAGAAGAGGTATCTACCTTTAAAATCCTGAAATGAGAGGCTGTTTATTCCTAAAAAATCAAAAGAGTGGGTTCAGATTGATCTTCCATTCCTATATACATTTTTCAATATTAATAGTGGTTTTCCAATAGAATATCACTTTATGGTTACTCAATCTTCTTTGTGGCAAGTGACATGCGTTTGGATAGAGTTTGTAAAATGTGAGAGGCTAACACTTTTACAGGAAGTTTCTTGTGGCAACTGAGATCATTGAGCCAAGCAAATAATCTCCTACCACTTGAGGGACTGCAGAACAGTGCACCCTGAGCTGACTCTTCCCCCCCAAACCTCTTAACCTATATCCAGTCTACTGAGCTTATCAACAGGTTTCTTTCACATATCAGTTGCTGAGTTTACTGATACCATGGATGTAATATCACTTGACTCTTTAAAACTAAAAGCATACCAAATAATATTTATGTAGATGGAAATTAAAATTGTTATTATTTTAAATTTTTAAATCTTTTTTCCTTGAGACTAGTAATCAGATCATATCAATAAGAAATTTCTGTTTTTGAGAAGTTGTTTGATTTTTATTTTCTCCCACATATTACATTTCCACATGTCCTACAATATTTACTTTTAAAATGTTGTTATTCGGAATTATTTTAACCTCTTGGGACTCTTCTGTTCTTATTTTTGTGCTATGTATGTTCCAAGTGATGTCAAAAGAGATTTGTTAAAGTGAGCAAAGTTTACATATCCTGAACAAAACTTGGTCTTCTTCCCAGGTTAAAAATCGCTACGTTTAAGATTATTTCTTTGCATATCAGCACCTCTCTCCACTATTTCGTGTATTGATATCCATTATCAAGTATGGATAATTATGCCATGGATCTGGTTTAGTTTTTCCATGTTCAGAGGACATCGTGGGCTTCGAGAAGAAGGGAGGATAACTATAAACTAACGTGATACTTAGATGTGCAGAGGAAAATAGTCTTTTTAATATCTTTACATATAAAACAATTCTAGCATGAGTTTAGCAGTAAAAAGACAAAAAGAAAAGAGGTGTTTTCCTCCATGTTATTTATAAGCTATCAATTATAATTCTGCACAGAGATGCTATTATATGTATTTTCTTATTCCTTCCATGTTGATCAGTCCCATACACATTTACACATGAAGTAAATTATTTGTTTTCTAACATGCATTTATGATCAGGACACATGAAAAAAGGTTTCCCAATCAAAACAGACTTGTAAAATGCATTCACTGGAATCATCAAAATACATGCTACTATCCTTCTATGTACACTGCGGTTTTTTTCCTAAACACTAACTACAGTTTTATCTTGATTGATGTTTTCCTTTTTAAAAAATTTCCATCAGGAAAATGTTTGCCTTATTGATGGATTCTGCTACACTGAAGGGGATAAAAATCCTACCAGCCCTTGTTCGATTTGTAGACCTGAAATTTCAAAATTTACTTGGTCATTTTTAGAAAGTAAGTTATTCTTTTTTAATCCAAATATTTCCTCTACAAGATGATTTTTAAAATAATTTTAAACCGTGAGATACACAAATGTGTTTAAGATGAACACAAGTAATTTAGGATTTTCCTTAACTAAATAATTTACTTTGCTGAAAGTAAATGTAAGATGAAATGTTTTTAGTTTATATAATCTCTATGATTATAGTACAATAGGATATGGAATTTTTATTTTAATATTTGATAAAGAATACAAATCCAGCCCTACCATTCTGTGACTCTGTGAGTATAATTTTGGGTATGGATGATTTCTGGATACTTTGTTCCACCCCAAAAATGCCAAATTATAGTCATGATCCATATAATTTCTTCCCTTCCTTAAATACAGCTGTGCATGATTCCACATAGGTGTTCCTCACATTCTTTTTCCTCAGTCATAAGACCAGGCATCATAAGATACAACAAGCAATAATTACTCCCTGGTGCCTTGTAATTTTACCTAAGGAGTCATAAAACCTTATATTTACACAGTGCTTTGTAATATCATTATATATGTTACTGTATGTGCAAGTTTCATTACTGTGTTAGACTCCATGTCAGATGATTCATTGCTCATGGGATATTATGGGAAGATAGTGGGAATTTGGGAAAGAATTTAGTGCAAGAGACAAGAGAAATACACTATAATTTCTGAATTGTTTTTTATGTTTATTCTGGTTTTAATAGCTTTGTTATGACTGATTCATCATAGATTAACAATGTTCAAAGACATAAGTGGTCTTGAATTACCTGTTCCAAGCCCCTCAAATTGAGAGGTGAGGAAGTTAAAATCAGTACATAGTATAGGGATGTACAGGGGCAGAATGGGAGCCAAAACTACGGTTTCTTCCATCAGTGGTTTGTCGACGCAAGCAGTGTGTGCTCAGTGCAAAGAAAAAGGCTATTCTTTCTATCTGTTAAGCCAGCTGGTAAGGAGGGGGGCATTTTTTAATATGGCAATGTAAAAATATGTTTTAAATCATTTCATGAGCATAAAGGGAGCTTTGTGCACTGTTATGGCCACGTACCCTGAATAGCTCACATTCCAGTGTGTCAGCTTGGACACTAAAAGGACCGCTGCCAATCTGACTTGGTATGTCTAAGTGGCTCTCAATTATTATAAACTAGGGAGGCAGGTATAGCGAGGAAAGGTTCAGAGAGTCAAATGAATAAGTCAGTCTTGGATAGTAAGGGGAAAATAGAGAAAAGGAGGTGTAAGGGCGAAAGTAAAGCTGAAAAGAATAGATGGCCAAGAAGAAAGAGTGAAAGAGCCAGAAGGGAGATGGTCGACACTGAGAAGTAAATTCAGGCAGAAGAGGAGGTGCATCTAGTCTGGGCAATGCAAATGTACTTACGTACTTTATGCTATATCCAAAGTGCTTTTACATTTGCATAGGAAAGCTTGGAGACTTCCACCTGTCAGTTTTACATTTCCTAAGAAGGAAATTTAATTTATTTGGAATGTTTTATTTAAAACAAATGAAAGCAGGTAATGGAAATTTTAGAAGAGTTCACTTTATCAAAATGTCTGCCTCAATTGGAGTTCTCAGTATTACATTTTTCCTTTTCCTTTTTCATACAGGTACAAAAGTAAATGTTTTCTCTGTTACAGAAAACCAACCCCCCGTTATTCAAATACCGCAAGATAAATTACAGGCGTTTTATGGAGAGAACTTTGTGTACCAGTTCATGGCCTCTGATCCAGAAGGCTCTGACATCCATTTTACCTTGGATTCTGGTCCTGAAGGGGCAAATGTTTCCTCTGCAGGACTTCTTAAATGGATAACAGAGTCACAAACTCCCCAGAAATTTACCCTCCTGGTGAATGATGACTGCAATGCTGAAACTAGGGTCATGATTGAGGTAATATTTATAATTCATAAATGCTGCTTAATTAAAAGTAGTAGTAACAATTTTAAATTTAAAATATAATTTAGATTCTTAATTTGTCAAGAGGAACTAAATAATTAAACATTTCTTGGAAAATTAAACTGCCAAAATTTTGAATATTTTTTGCAAGAATTTAAAACCTTAGAGAGAGTCTCAACTTAAGAGCTTGGATTTAAATTACTAATTCCTAGACCATTTTCTTCTGTAACTAACTTAACTAACTAAAGATAAAGAGTGAATTCATGTCCATCTCCATGAAAGATCTGTGACAAACCTAAGACTGGTAATTATGTCCTTTTCTTTCAAGTGGAAGAATCTGAATTCGAAGTCAAGATTATAAATATTATCACTTTGCTGTACACCTGAAACTAACACAATATTGTAAGTCAACTACATTTCAATAAAAGATTACAAATATGATTGGAAATAACTAGTTGCAAACTGTATTTTCTTTCACTTTTATTGTGTCCTATATTCACTTGAAACTTAGGATACACTCTCACAGAGAAGTAATGGTATGAAGGACAATTGTGTACTATGTCATATTAACTAGATAATTCAAGTGATTGTTTACTTGCTAGATTTTGGGATAAGTCAGGTGACCAACTGCTGTCCAATTTAAGGATTTTTTTTCCAGTTGTTCTGCCTACATGATAGAAATTGATCATCTTGTAACATTTTAAAAATGCATCCCTAGCATTTATATTTTGCCAGTGCTCTTGAGTGGGCATAATTGCTTTATTAAACTGCCTTTTAAAATACTATTTTACATTAAATATATACATATATAGGTCTTTTGTTTTGCAAAACATGTAATCTGGTCCTACTTGTACATAAATATACATGCCTATCATGATTTCTGGGACATAAATTTTATGACAAAATAAAACATCTACTTTTTGTTTCTTTTACAGGTGACTGTGAAGTCTTGTGATTGCTTGAATGGGGGATCATGTGTGTCTGATATTAAATTTCCTCCAGGAAGTGGGGCATACCTGTGTGTCTGCTTGCCTGGTTTTCAGGGCAGTCTTTGTGAAGCGGATATCACTGAATGCCAATCAAACCTCTGTGGCCTTGGCAGATGCATTAGTGGTTTTCACAGTTATTCCTGTGATTGTCCACCTGAGCTCAAAGGTAAGTTTTGGTTCCTCATGAATGAAATCAGGATATGAACAAATTCAAAAGGAAAGCTCCTTAGCTTCCCATGTAATCTACACATTAGTCAAGCAAATGTATGGTCTTAAAGATTTTAATGCACGTTTTTAAATCTTAGTAAAACTCATCACAAACACATTAGGTATCCATATCCTTTTTTTACATATACTCTTATAATTTCACTCATTTTTATAATTTGAATGACAATATTTTATGTCTGTATTGTATTTTGCAGGTTTCTAAACATTTCTATCTATGTTGGGTAGGTAGAAATGTATTTAAATATATTAATACTGAAATATAATGTAGAATAATAAAGCTACTTGCTATGGGAAATAGAACATTATCATTTAAGAGAAATTTTATTGACAATTCATTAATTTAAAAATATCATGATCTTTAGAGTTGAAATCAAATGATATGTTAGAATATTTGTTAACTCATTAATTATCCTAAAAATATCTGATTCCAGAAACCCCAAATAAGTATATGACTGACATCCTTTAACCTCCCAAGATTTTTAAAAAATCTCATACCAATATTTTAATTAAAACAGACATAAATAATAAGTAAATATGCAGATATTGAAGCTGATATTTTCCTTGAAGGCATCTATTTTAACATTATAGTGGAACTAAGCAGGATATTTAGGTGTCCTCTAATTTTCTCCAGCATTTTAAAATAAAAATGTTATTATTTGGGGCTACTTTGCTACAGACCACATTTGAAAGAATGCAAATGTAGTTTGCTTCATGGATTTTAGTATAATAGGGGCTACCATCATTAACGACTGTGAATGTATTCATCAAATAAGTTGTTAAACATTTCCAAGAGCAACACTTCTGAAAAAACTTTATTGAGGAAAGACTGGAACATTGCAAAATGTTCATGGATTTTTACAGCCAATACAATAACTGGACTAAGTTGTTCTTAAGCTAAGTAGACAATCTTTCTAATAATTTCTTAAAAAAATACTGAATTTTTTAACAAAATAGAAATTACTGCTATCATATGGACATTTTTGTCTTAACATATTAATATCCTTCTTAAGTCTTATTCATAGGGAAAATCTTATAAATGTGTAGGGTCTCGTTTATTGTTAAATAGAATCTAATTAATGACCTAATGTTTAATTATAAAGTAAATTTTAAAAGCAGCACACTTCTGTCTATATATGACAGCTTTCGGGGAGTTACCAGGACCATAAAGAGTAAAAGAAATCAAATAATGAGCTTTTGATTTGACATATAGTGTTTTGCAAGTTGAATAATTTGAACTCTTAATCTGTATTTTATCTAGGCAAAAACTGCCAGGAAGATGTTGATGAGTGTGAATCCGGGCCTTGCTTTCCAGGAGCAGAGTGCCTCAATACTTTTGGTTCCTATCATTGTGGTTCATGTCCAAAAGGACTTTATGGTGATGGAAAAACATGTCATGGTAAAAGTTCCTATTTCCTGCCATGAAATGTTTGTTTTCTGTTTTGGGGGTTTGGGGGTTTGTTTTTGTTTTTGTTTTTTGTTGCGTTTAATTACTTCAAATCATTCAATTCCATTTTCTCTCGTACTCAGCATTCATTCAGGGTCATGCACTAAGCTAGATGCAGAGGATGTAGACATGTATAAGATGTATCCTCTGACCAAGTAGGTTTGAGCATAATAGCAGGAATTGATAACTGAATAACTGAATCACAGTTCAGTATAATGTTCTGTGTCTTTTGATAGAAGTGCCTAGAGAGAGGAATACGACACAGGGACTCATGCCCCTCTGGAGGGATAGTGCAAAGGTTTAAAAAGGAAGTACCACTACCGCTAAATTTGATGTATCTGATCAAGAAAGAGAAAAGCATTTCATTGTAGGCAGAGGAAACAACATGAGCAAAGGCACAGAGGCAAGTAACATCACAGCACATCTCGGGCCCTGTGAGTAATTCAGTGCGCTTAGAATAGAGAGGAAGAGGCGCTGCTACAAGAGCAGCAGGGGTACGCAGTGGACAACTCCCTGACAAACAATGAGGAACAGGATAAGGTTTACATCTGAGAAAGTCTACTTAAAGCAGCGTGCAGGATGGACCACTTGCAGGTAAGGAATTGTGCAAGTGTAAATGTGCAAAGAAGCATTTATGACAATATTACAGACATAGGAAAGATATAAAGATATTCTGACCTAAGATGAGGAGATGATGGATGAAAGAGACACTAAAGAAGCAACGTGAGTCTGTTTCTGCAGACCCACAGATATAGAAAACAAACTTGTGGTTACCAAAAGAAAGAGGGAAGGAGGGAGGGACAAATTTGGGGTTTAGGATTAACAGACACAAGCTACTATATATAAAACAGACAAGTGACAAGGATATACTGCAAGGCACAGGGAATCATACCCATTTTCTTCTAATACTCTATAATGGAGTATAATCTGCAAAAATACTGAATCGCTGTGTTATATACCTGAAACTACCACAACACTAAATTAACTATTCTTCAATAAAAGAAAAAAAAGAAGCAAGTTGATAGTATTTATTCAGTGATTTGGGATTATCATGGTGAGATAGTTACTAAATTTTAAATGCTTGATTTAGGCAAATTGAGTGGGCAGAATTGGCATTTACATTGCTATGGACTAAATTACGTCCTCCCAAAATTCATACATTGAAACTCAAACCCAGATTACGGTTGTATTTGGAGTAAGGAAATAGGGTTAAAGGAGGTCACAGGGAGGAGCCCTAATCCTGTAGGATTAGTGTGCTTTTACGAGGAGACACCAGAGAACTCACTCTCTCTGCCATGTGAGGACACAAGCAAAATGCTGCTGTCTGGGACCCAGGGAGAAAACTCTCTCACCAGGGACCAAACAGGTCTGCACCTCGATCTTGGAGTTACCACCCTCCAAAACGGTAAGAAACTAAATTCCTGTTGTTTAAACCACCCAGTCTGTGGTATTTTTTCATGGCAGCTCAAGCTAAGACACACATGAAATATAAGGAAGAATAGTTTGGGAGAGAAGAGATAATAAATTCACCACCGAGGTGACTGTGGAATATCCAAGGGGAGCTCAGGAGGGAAGGTTACATTAAAGATGTAATTCTTAGGTCATCAGTTACGGATGACATTTCCCAGGGATAACACTTAGAAGAAAAGAACAAAAAAACTGGTGAACGTCAACACTTTAAAACCTTAAAAGAGAAAAGCAAATTATAGAAGTCAGTGTCTAAGAATTCTGTCTCTGGTATTATCAAGCAAACGAGACCTATTTTGGTGAAGAATACATATTAATGACATAGTATCACCTTGTGCTTCGAATTGGGCTGGGCCTGTCTAGCACAGGAGGTAACCACTTTGAGGAGCACCGTGCAGGATGGGGAAGGGAATTCCCCACTAGTTCAGCTACTCACATTTCCCCCTCAACATCCAGTCCCCAATACTCAACCATCCATTCTATGCACTAAAGTGATCTCACGTCTGTCTTTTCCAAACAATGGCGCATTCTCTCAATAGGACCTTTATCAAGTGGAACTTGAGAGGAAAGCAAGTTGAACCAAATTCCATTACACACGAGTGACTAATAGGTTTCTTAACTCTATTAGAGACACTTGTGTATTTTAGGAAGATGCTTGTTAATACAACATAGTTTTTTAAATTGTTGGTTGTTGTTTACTTAGTTTATAAGCTCCAAAGTCAACGACTATAAAAGTGAATATACTTGAAGTTGCTAACTAGTGGAGGAAAGAGACACATAAGTGGGAAGGACAAAGTTCTGTGGAATGACATTGAGCAGGTGAGTGTGACTATAGGAGCAGCTCGGGCTGCCATAGCAGAATAGCACAGACTGGGTCACTTAAACAGCAGAAATGTGTTTGCTCACAGTTCTGGAAGCTGGAAGCTCAAGATCAAGTTGCCTGCAGAGTTGCTTACTGGCTCTCTGCTTGGTTTGCAGATGGCTGCCTTCACACTGTATTCTCACGTGTGCATTCTTCTTGTGTCTCCTCCTCTTTTAGGGACAACAGACTTATTGGATTAGTGCCCCACTCTTATGACCTCATTTAACCTTAGTTACTTCCTTAAAACTACTTCCAAATACAGTCACATTTAGGGCTAGGGCTTCATCATATGAATTTTGAGGAACACAATTCAGTCCATAACAGAAGCATCTGCTAAAAAGGTGACATTTAACATAGTTCTCCAATCTAATTTGCAAGGAGTTCAATCCAGTTTATTATATGTTCTTATTCACAGTGCTTTGGCTTTATAACAGTTTAATTCTGATCTGCTTTTCATTGTGTAATTTACAGTTGAAACACAGCATTTAAATGACTCTACTACACATACTGTGGTTGCCACAAGGTCTGACAAGAGTGTAACTAAGAAAGAGGATAGTAAAAATGCCAATCAGACAGAGATGCATATTTGGCCAACAAATGGAAATGCCTTTAGTAAGTAACGATCTTAGTTAAAATCTAATGACAAGTAATACATCTCATCTGTTTTCCAGAAAATCACCTAAGATTATAAAATACAGTTTGCAAAGTAATCTTTTTCTTGCACATCTGTTGAGCCCTCTGGCTTATACTCCAGAAAAATGATTCATGTTATATAATGAAAAAATTATATCATTACTTAAGGTGATTTCAGAGAAGCTTATGGTGGGAAGTGATCATTTCAAACTTGCATTCTATAAATCCCTGGTTATCCATTATCTACTCAAACCCTGAAAGTATGAGAAGCTCATTCTTTCATAAGGCCTTTCCCTCTTCGTAGTGTTATCTTTGTAACTCTTGTTTTATTCAGTAACACTCTACGATTGTCTTCATAACAATTTGCACATTTCTCATTAGCTTTCTTTATGCCTTTGCCTTCTGTAGTATCAGCTGATTATCTTGCAAGATATCATTCTGCTTGTTCCTTTTGCAAGGCATCATTGTTGGTTACTGCAATATAGGAAAGCTACCTTAATTTTAATGTTATTCACATATTCAGCTGCCTTACTACTCTTAAGTACACTATTTTTTATAGTTGATTCTCTTCTTAATTTTATAGGTAAACCATATTTTTTGCAAACAATGACTTTGTCTCTCTTATTTACTTTCTTATAGTGACTAAAATTTAGTCTATATTTATGATATGCCAGCACTAGGCAAGTATTTTTAATATATTATCTCATTCGATCCTCATAATAGATATATACAGTAACTTCTTATTTCCATTTTACAGATGAGTAAACTGAGACATTGATGGGTTAAGTAATCTGTTCAGATTTACAGAGTTTGTAAATTAGAGAGGCGAAATGTGAACCTGAGCAATCTAACAGCATGCCCCAGCTTTCAAATTTAGGTTCCAGTTGTGGTGGGTGGGACCTCCAGAGCAAAGTGTGTAGGGGTGGAATAGCTTTGTTTCTTAATGTTTTTAATGGGAATTATTCTCATGTTTCACCATTGAATATGATATCACTGTGGATTTCTGATAGAATTTTCCTTTTACTGATTGCTTTCTCAGAATTCTCCTTTCTTTTAAATCAGGAGTACATTTTAAATTTTATTAAATGCTTTATTAGCATCACTCATTACTTGGTATAATTTCTGTTAATGGTTCCTTAATTTTTTCAGAATGTTTTAACAAAAACAAAATTGATGGATCAGGTTGCTTTTAACATTTTATTTTACATTATTTTCTTCATTAATACCTTAATGTAATTGTTAATTAAAACATAAGTCTGTTTCATCCTGAAGTAATCTGTAACTAAACTGCTGCACTTGATTTAATTTGATTTAAATGAAATGCCAGTATTTCATTTAAATTTTTATATATTTTCATAAATATTGGCTATAGGATTATGCCACTCTGATAAAGTATTTATTAAATGTTTATAAAATATTTCATCTTTTTGTGTGTTACAACAGTTTTTAAAATATCCCTTTCTTGATTATTTGATAAATTTTTCTCCTTTAGATCTGCTGTCCTGTTTAGGAGGTGATTCTAGATTATTTCTCTATTTCTTTCATAGTAATTTTTCCATCATCTATTCTATCTCCTCTTCCGTCAATTTAATCATTTATAATTTGAAAGTCATTTATCTCCTTGAGATTTCAAACTCTTAGTTTAAAATTATATGTCGTATTCTTTATAAACTTGTGGTTGCCAAGGGGGAGCGGAGTGGGAAGGGATAGACTGGGAGTTCAAAATTTGTAGATACTGACAGGCATATGCAGAATAGATAAACAAGATTATACTGTATAGCACAGGGAAATATATACAAGATTTTGTGGTAGCTCACAGAGAAAAATATGTGACAATGAACATATGTATGTTCATGTATAACTGAAAAATTGTGCTCGACACTGGAATTTGATACAACATTGTAAAATGACTATAACTCAATAAAAAATGTAAAAAAATTTAAAAAATAAAATTATATGTAGTTCTCTTGTATAATTTGAAATTCTTTTCATATGTGTAGCTTTTCCTGTTTTCTCATCTTCAAAGTTGTTTAGTTATATCGTTCCACTGCTCTTTTCTGGACAGAACTTGCCAAAATTTATCTATTCAATTGTGTTTTTTCCCAAATAATCATTGAGATTTGCTTTTCTGTTAATTATCTGTTTATAACTTTACCTTTTTGTTGATTTGTAAGGGTACTTTGCATATTCCAGCCACTGATCCTTTACATAATATGTACTTGAAATTACCTCTTTTATTTCTGTGGCTTGCCTTATCTATTTGTCTTTTAATGCAAAATTTTTTAATTTTTATAGTCAAATACTTTTATACTGCTTAATAGTTTGTGGTGTCTTGTGTATTCAAATATTATAATATATTTGAATTATAAGTTCCTTGAAGGCAGGAACTGTGTGTGATAACTTCTTATTACTGCATGGCTCTTAGTATAGTGTTATACATGTAATAGACATTAAATGAAGAAATGAATTACCTAATATTAAATACTATGGGTAGAGCAGAATATTAACAAATGTTATTAACTAATATTTCTTTTTCTTTTTCGGTTGTTTAGATATAAATTTGCAGCAACCATCAACTGGTGCAAGCTTCATCCACAGTCCTGCAACTATCAAAAAGTTCTTGGATACAACGAACGACATCTCACATTTTTCATTAAAATCAGTTACAACTCGAATAAATCATTCAAAGAAGGCTATTTCCCATCAGATATCAAGTTTTAAACATGCAGATCACACCCTTAGTACAAACCTCAGTCTGCAGGATTTGGAAGTTCCTACAAACAACCACAGTTCTTTAAGCATTAACCAAAACAGTTCTCACAGCAAAGTAAAGGATGTTATCCAGGGCACCATACAAACAGAAACAAGAGAGTATAATTTTCATACCAACAGGTCTGCCCAAGGTTACACACAGTATAAGAATGGACTTGCATCATCACTTACTAGAGCCATCACTATTTTGCCAGAAAAGCCTAGATCGACCAAAATATCAACTTGTGCTGAATCCCCTTGCTTTCTTGGTGTTTCCTGTGTGCCAACCACAGATGGTCACTCCCAGTGTGGACGCTGCCCCTTTGGATATTACGGGGATGGTATCAGTTGCAGAGGTAGTATGAAAATTCTTCAGTAGATACAAAGAAAACTATTTAGTTCACATTTAAGTAATTAAGAAGATATGTTCTTCTATTTATTAATTTCAGTTTACACCATTCAGTTCACTAATTTCTATTTATTTTATTTATTATTTGTGTATATTCCCTTCACATTTCAAAAACATTAACAGGTATTTCTGAATTTTTTAATAACATTAATATCAAATAGCATTATAGCTATATAATCCATTATAAATATATTCACTGAGAACATACTGTGTTGTAGGGTCTGTGGAAATACTCTGTATCACTATGTCATATAGTCCACAAGGACCCCACATATTGGGTGTTATTTTTCCCATTATATAGACAAGAAAGCAGAGCCTTAGAGGGCTAACTGACTTTTCTGGCATTAAGCTGCTACAGATAAAATATAAGATGTGAATAACACTGTGGTCTGACTTGTTTTCAGCTCACAGAGGGCATTTAGCACTTTAAATGACTAATTCTGGCATATTTGCTTATTTGTATAAACTAGGTTACTCTGTAATTCCTCCAGCCTTGAGAATAAAACAAATTGGGAATCACTTTAAATTTGAAAGGAGTGTTCACTTCTTTTCACAATCATCAGCATTGTTTTCTCTGATGCAAGTCAAATTTCTGGCTTTGACAAAGTAGAAGCTACTTTTTGTTGTTGATACTGTTATGTTGTTACTGTTTTGTTTTGTCTGTGTTTTGATTTGTTTAAGACCCACTTAAGCAACAGAGCTGTTGGAGTGTTTCTTTGTTCTCCAGAGGAACCTAGAGTTACGGAGAGGAACCTTGTTTTTTCCTTTCTCTATAGGAATAATGATAATAACCTTCAATACTTACATATTTGTAATATAAAACTCATTGTTATTAACAAATAAAACAACCTCATGTATTTCAGTTACCTTAGGAAGTGTTCACTGCCTAATAGTTAAGAATATATCAGGTTGTTAGACAAGCTTAAGGAATACAAACCTATAAGCTTATGATGTGCTCCTGGCGTCTTGCTCTTTGTCATTCTGACTATCCCTGCCACTCAGCAACATTTACCTAATTAGTATCTGAAATTTCATTGCTCTGGAAAGACTGTAATCCCATTTATGGTTAGCAGCCATCTCCAACATCAGTTTTGCTATGGGAGTTAATTACCACATATGATACATTTTTCTTACACTATCAATCATTTACCTCAGTCATTCTAGTAGTAAAACAAATATAAGCGGAAAAATAATTTTCTGGATATATGTAGTGGTTATAGTTTAATAGTGGTGTCAAAATTTTCAAATTTCAGGAAATTTTACTTTCATTGTAATTAAATCTATGGGCAATGTGCATATAGTGTATTTACAGTTCAGCCTTTCCCACTTGATTTTGCAGCCATTTGTAGACATCCATGTGGAAGAAACAGGGAGTGTGTTGCCCCAAACATATGCAAGTGCAAACCTGGCTACAGTGGTTCTAACTGCCAAACTGGTAGGTATAGCATTCATTCGTTTGCATAATGAATTTAATTGATAATTGATATTTCTAAACCATGAATTTTATTTTATACAGCTGTATGCCATCCTGATTGCAAAAACCATGGAAAATGTATTAAGCCTAACATTTGTGAATGTGCCCCAGGGTATGGTGGAGCAGCCTGTGATGAAGGTGATAATTCAAAATAAAATTCAAATAATAAAACCAAAATAAAGCAATATTTTCTTTAAAAACTTTTGAAAAGATAATTTAGTTTTACTGTGTACACATTAATATATACTTAATAATGCTGGTGAGGGAGTCTAAATTTGTTAATGCTTATTAAAAAAAATGTATTTGAAGATTTTTAAAACTTAAATTTACAAAATCAGAGAGCCAAAGAACTATAGCTTATTCATCCTTGGTAAAAGTATATTTAGAAATAAATTTTTTGAGATTTAGTTATATGGAACCATATCCCTACAAATATTTTGGCTTCAAACAAAGACATCTGCTTATTGAAAAGCTTGTCAAATATAGCTCCAAGGAACTGTTAAATACCAAATAATTAGAAGGTATCAGGTAGTAAGAAGAAACCTAAAAAAAGGTTTTTAAAAACATGTCTACAGCCATGTAATTTTATTGCTTTGGTTGAAATCTTAAGTGGAGAGTTTAAGAAATGGCATTCCTAAAATGTATAATATTTTCAAGAAACAAATTTGTTATTTTTAAAATAATATTTTAGTAGACTGTACGCATAGAATTATTAAACTGAGAGCCACGTTAAATGTTTTCATGACCAAGCAAGGTACAAATTAATAAATTACAGTAAATATAGAGTTAACTAATAGAAACATTTAATATCAATAGCATAGGGAAATATAGAAGTATTCTATTTGTAAGGCAGGAATGCATAAGTCCAAGTCTAATTTTTCAGAAGAAACCTAAGATTGTATATTTCCATCCAGTTAACTGAAAGTTTCATAAACCAAAACATGCTGAAGATTTGTAGGCATTTTCAGAGTGTGAAAATGCCACTTAGTCAATCCCACGGAACTAAATTTCACGCTAAAATAGAACTGAATTTTCTATAAATTGCTCCTATAAGAAGTTTTTATTGTGACTGTGCTTCATAAACAAAAACTGACTTTTTCTTAATTAAGAACTGACTTAGCATAGTCTGTGTCCACAGAACACTGTAGACCACCTTGTCAACATGGCGGCACCTGCTTGGCTGGAAATCTCTGCACTTGTCCTTACGGTTTTGTGGGACCAAGATGTGAAACAAGTAAGCAAAGCTCTTTTGCAGTCTAATATAATGGAATTTCTCCTTTGGACAGTTGATTGCTTTAATGCTAACTGAGATAAACCCAAATCCTAGGTAAAAAATATACCTTCATGATTTATTACGACGATTACCATTTTGCATACCACTGGGCGCCAGTACTAAGATAAAGACGCTTGTTCTTAGAAGCAACTATTTTCTTGACCTTATCCATGAACATTTTTTTTTTGAGATAATAAGGATTCTAATTTGCTGGCTTGTATATATATATTGATCTCATTTAATTTACATCTATGATTACTTTCATCAGTAACTAATAATTTTCCCAAATAGCCAACTCCTGTTTACCATTCAGATCAATGGTTTTCTGTTTTCCCCATCTCTATTAACAACCACGACAGCAAAAATAACTGAAAGTGAAAACTGGAAACCATTTAAAGCCAAAAGATAACTTGTTTTTATTTTTACTTTTCTTTCTGATCTTGTTCATTGGATGATGTTATTGGCAGTTATAAGAAAATAGGTAATAGCCAATAATATGACCAATTCCAAGCCTAATTTATCTTTCTTTTATTTTTATCATATGATCTTAGTGGTTTGTAACAAGCACTGTGAAAATGGAGGTGAATGTCTTATACCAGATGTTTGCCAGTGCAAGCCTGGCTGGTATGGACCCACCTGTAGCACAGGTAAAATCAGAAAATTTTTCAATAAATATATTAGTTAAAAGAAATTTAAAATGCACCAGTGTCCTAAAGACTTGCACCCAAAAGCATAAAAGTAATCTGACAAGACTGTTACAAAGTTTTTATTTCAAGAAGATTTTTAAAACCCTCCCTCTCACCTTCATTCTTTTCCTTCTTGTATTAGGCCAGAGTGTATTCCAGCCCAACCAATACTTTCTTTTTTGGCCTTTATTTTTCCCTCATCTATTTGTCTTATGGTGGAGAGAAACATAGCTGTGCTGCATATTCAGGTCTCTTTCAAGTTTTTTTTAAACAGCACAGACATTCTATTTCATTAAACATTCATGCAATTCTAAGAGTTAAGTGGACATCATAACACAGTATTTATTTATTTACACAGTATTAGGGTTACTTCTTTGGCAGTGTGGTGTTTGCAATTATCTCTGTTTAATTTAATCCACTGTAATCTAATGACTTTTCTCAACATAAATTTAATTCAACATTTATAGCTTGATAACTATGTGTGAAGCATGATGCAAGAGGAAACAAAGATCAATTTGATTTTTGCCCCAATTTCAAACAGCATATCATTAGTGAAGGGGACATGCACACAGCTACAGAAAAGACTGTGATACAAGTTGAGTTACAATAAGTAATATAATAATTGCACAGTTCCTTGGAAGCAGAGAAAAGAGAGATTAATTCTAGCAAGTGCAGTTTGGAAGAAAATTGTGTAGACTTTGGAGAACTGGTAAAATCTGGGTTGAAAAATGGTATGGAAGGTGACTTTCAAAGTGGAAGAAAGGTAAAGAAGCAAAAACAAAGAATGTTGTTGAGTGTGGTACGACTTGAGTTCAGTGTTCATATTTGACTTGGGAAGTAGACAGAAAGAGGTACATGCAGCCACATGTATTTGAGCAGATTACACACTATCCTGCTTGTGCTGTTGAATTACCTTCTCCTAACTTCTAATCATTTTTTCCAGCTTACCAAGGGCATTCTGAATTCTAATCATAGCCTCCACACTCTTAGCTTAGTAATATTTGTAAACTTAATGAACAGAATTGCAAAGCTATTAACCAGTTATTTCACCCCTCTTATGTTTGGCAAAGTCTAATTAATTATAGGTTATGGATTTTACTTGCAGTAAAAATAAAATATTTCATTATGCACCATTTTGTACTTCAGTGCAGCTTTCATTTTTTAAATAATAAAACTTTTATGGTCTTTCTCCCTCCTGCTGTTCATTAGCTTTGTGTGACCCCATTTGCCTCAATGGTGGTTCCTGTAACAAGCCAAACACTTGCCTCTGTCCAAATGGATTCTTTGGTGCACGGTGTCAAAATGGTAATTATTCTTTCTTTATAAACATAAAGGCAAAGGGAAAGTTAGACGTAAACAGAGCTCTGACAAGTTTCAAGGAGGAAGATGCTATTTCTTCTATTTCTTGTGATGTTGCAGTCTTGGTCACCAAATGATTAGCTCGTAGAAATACATGAGTTATTATGTAAAATGTTTATTTATTCAACATACGTTGAATAAAAAACCTTGTCACAACCATAGCACATTTGTAGGACCACGCTGTTGAAACAAATAAGCAAAGTTCTCTTGCGGTCTTTCATGTGAAATGGTGTCATTTTTGCTGCCCTCTCAGCAAAAACATTTGATTTATAGTCAGTCTAATGTCCACTGTTATCTAATGTGCTTTCCTGACTTTAGTTTCACTAAACATTTATGAAAAGCCAGCTGTGCACAGAACTATGAAAGGAGATATGGGGACATAAAGATGCATCATTTTTCCCCTTCATGGACTGTTATTTTAACACTTTCCCTCATAAAGTTAATGCTACAGATTTTATTTTGTTTTGTTTCGTTTTTTCCAGAATATGAGCATGACCTGATGTTGAATACATAGGCATGAATTAATGCCAATAAGTGAAATTTAAAATGTATTTTCCGCATCTTCATACTTTTGAGTTTATGCAAACTAGAATAGACTTTTAGTATAAAACATGCCAGAATATGTATAATTTAAATTCTAAAATATGTACTTTCTATGTCATGTTATACTTTGATTTGCAATCCTTTTTTGTTAACTTGGAGGTTGGCTAGGATTCTGACATTAAAACTGAGGTGAAGAAACCATCACTCTAATACTAGGCATACAGACGTACGAAATGAGTTCCTCGAATTCAGATTTCTGTTAAGCAACTAGTTTGCAAAAACGGGAAGACTAAATTAAGACAAATCTTGAAAACCAGGAGACTATGACTAAATCCACGTTTAAGAATTTTAGGTAGGGTTTTGAGTGGAGAACATAAAGAGGGAAATAAAAAGCTTATGCCTCTCATGCTATTTGCAGTAGATGTAAGTATAGTAAGAAAAATTCTCTAAAATTTATATGCCAACTATACAACTGGGTAAAGGAGGGGACTCTAAATTACTAAATTGAACTAAAAGTTATCTATTGAACAGATGTCATGTTACAGTTTTTGGAACTAGCAGTCTCTGCAGTTTCCTAGTTGGCACAGATGTTGAAAATTTACTTATAGTCTCCAGGCCTCAGGCTTCTTAACTTTCAAGTTTGAACTAGACAGTTGCTGTGAAGTGCAAATGAGACAAACAAGAGGACCACCTACACATACAGTCAGCACATGGCTAGCTAGCATTAAGTAATGGTATTACTGCCATGTAAGACATGTTACAGAAAAGAGCAGAAGACATAAAAATATTATTTTTATTCTTATTAGATTACATTCTCTTGTGAGCCCAAAAGCTGGGAAGGGAAGATGCTATACACATCGAAAGCCATTGAATAACATTAGGCAGAGTATGGTTAAAAGTCAGTATGAGGAGAATATTCTGTGGGTTCTACTGGGTTTCAAAAGAGAAAGATAGCATTTGAGCTCTAAACATCGTGAAAGAGATAAACCACTCTGTGAATAAGCAAAGATTAAAATGTGTGTCTGGAGAGCTTCCAAGTTCCTTCATCCATTTGCCACGAGCCCTTTCCATATGGAACGTGAGGCTGGATAACAGCTCACTTTGGAGTCTGATGGAAGATCCATCTGAGGCTAGAAAATCTCATAAATATATGTGTGAAGGTGGACTTTCTCCTGAACCTCCTTTTTCTAAAATGGGATCGGGGTGGGTATGACCAAGCCTAAGTTTTTATGTCATTTCTCTGTATTACTTATATACTTTTTTGTATAAATGTAGTATTTATCTCACACGCAAGTTTTGTAGCATAGATGAGTATTAATTATAACAATGTTACTCACTGTAAACAAGTCTTTTGTTTTTTAGTTTTAAATTTCTAACCATGGTATTTCCTATGATGTTTTTGTAATGAAAAGAATACATTTTTTTCTAAAATAATCTCAACAGAAATAATCTTAAATCATATAAAGATTATGAAACAGAAAATAGAGCTTTTTCCAGTAATAAAAAATATAAAAATGCCAGAGAAAGTAGATTCAAAAGGCTCGGTCTAAAATAGTAGAAGTTATTCATTTCCTAAAATCATTCAGTTATGTTGTCTTTATACATAAAGCGCTACATTGTTTTCATTTATAAATCCATTAGAAATCAGTTGAATTTTTCTTACAATGTTTAGAAATTTTAAAAGCAGCTATTAAAGACAGGTCTAATTTAAACAGGAAGCCCATCTACAAAGGCCTTATTACCAAAACCAGTTAACCTGACATTCACTTTAAAAATACAAACTAAAATCCATCTAATTATCATTTAAGGAAAAATTAAATTTAAAAATTTCTAGGCAGGTTTGCCTATGTATTATTATTTTTAAAATAACTGCATATAATTGTAATATTGGGAAGAGGCATGAAGCAATAAAAATCCTTTCATAAAAGATAACAAAAATTAGCTTGTGAACTCTATGGAACAGAATCATATATGTAGAAAATACAAGTACAGTGTATTCAAGATTATTCAAAAACTATTCTTAACAAAGCCAAGGATTTATTGTTTAAAAGATTTTTTGCCAAGCATTCACAGGAACAAGTCACATAAAAAGCTCTGCCTTCATGACCTCAGTAGGTATTCAAAAGTTAACTTTAAAGTATTTTCTGAACATCACGTGACTGATTGCTGAGTTTTTCTAATTTCCAGTAAGAACAGATATTCTTATTTTGAGCTAAGTTTTGACTTATTTTCTTGGTTTTTCCCATATCATTTCACTTTTTACTTCTAAGTACAGTTTAAAAAAAGATAAGGTGCATAATATATGCACTATAATACCGAAGTCTCTATTGGTTATGAACACTTCACCAATACATTTCAGGTTGTGCTAACCTACTAGCAAATCACAGCTATAAGCATTATATTTTGCGGTTTAGAAAAGACAGTTTTAATGACTTGCAGTTGTGATGTTTTAATTTAATAGCACATTTCTCTGCCTTATGGCCCCATAGATAACAAGCACATGATACAATACGTAATATATAATAATTGCATAGCTGATATTCACAGACTGCTGCCATGTGTTCTTTTAGCTATCTGTCATCCTCCCTGTAAGAATGGTGGTCACTGCATGAGAAATAATGTGTGCACCTGTCCTGAAGGATACACTGGTAGGAGATGCCAAAAAAGTAAGACACCATTAAATGTATTTGCCAACTACCGGTAAAGCAAACATATTAAGTAGCAAAACTATTGCTATTTAAGGGCTCACATTTCATCCTTTTACCTTAAGGTATCTGTGATCCCATGTGCATGAATGGAGGGAAATGTATGGGACCAAACCTTTGCTCTTGTCCTTCTGGTTGGAGAGGGAAACAGTGCAACACACGTAAGAGGAATATTCTTTAAATGCTAAAGCCTACATGGGAATGTAAAGCAGAGTTTAAAACAAAGAGCATTTTCCTTATTTTTTGTTGCTTGTTTTTTTCTTACTTGTTTGTAATTTAGAAGATACCTTTTTGAAACAGGAAGAGTAAAATGCCGAGTCATTCTGCCAAGTTAGCAGAGGTAGAGAAGGTGCTGTACTTTCTAGTCTGTTCACTACAGTTGCCAGGGTAAATGACAAGTCTTCAAATTCTGGCCTCTAAGTCTTAAGTAGGAGTCAGGGTAAGGTTTTTAAAAAAATTACTGGTTCCTTGGGCCCATCTCAGACCAGTCAAAGCAGAACCTCCTCTGATGGGGTGCCACTGCTTTCAATTCTTGCTAGTTTTTGAGATGATGGTAGCTCTCCTCATTCAAATGTTTCATGTATTCCCTTTCTTATAAATTATTATCTAAAATGACTAGCTAACATAATGTATTGGTCAAAGTGTAAAATGAGAAGCAGTATAAAAGTCCAACAATTGGGGAAAAAGTAAATCACAATATGTTTGATCAGTAGAACATTATACAACCATTAAAATCACGTTGAGAATAAGTAGTGACAATACAAAGTGTCCTTGATAAAATGTTAAACGAAGAGATCCTTAGTTAATTAATTATTAACTATTTCTCTTTCTTTCATGGAAATTTTTATGGTTTGTGATAGGATTTGACTAGTGAATTTTTAACTTGTTTATGTTTCTGTTTGCAGCCATCTGCTTCCAGAAATGTAAAAACGGTGGTGAGTGTATTGCTCCCAGCGTATGCCATTGTCCTCCCACATGGGAGGGAGCGCAGTGTCAGACACGTAAGCCTACAACATTTGTTTTCTACTCTATGTTCTGAACTTGAATCTATCATAATTATTGAACAAAATATAGCTTTAGCTAAAATCTATAAGGGCAAATAAACCCCAGTATGCTGATCCACTTTTAAAAAGTTTTAGAAATGAAAGGGTACCTTATGCATTTCTTTTTTTGCTTTTTTTTCTCCCTCTCTTTTTTGGGGGTGTGGGGAACATAATCAGATTTATTTATTTATTTATTTATTTATTTATTTATTTATTTATTTAATGGAGGTACTGGGGATGGAACCCAGGATCTTGTGCATACTAGGCATGCACTCTACCACCAAGCTATGCCCACCCCTCCCTTATGTATTTCTATACCCTCTTAAAAGAAGAAAGTATATTAATATTTTGTGTGACATAGTTAATTCCAAATTACGGCCTGTGGGTTGCCACTGAAGTTCTTTTTGGTGAGCTAAAGAAGATTTTTTTTTTTCATTTAAAAAAACTTTATTTTTCTTCTAGTATTATTGCCATATAATTGACATTGGCACTGTTTAAGTTTAAGGTATACAGCCTAATGATTTGACTTACATAAATCATATGTTTGCAAAAACCACAATAAGTTTAGTGAACATCCATCATCTCATATAGATACAAAATTAAAGAAATAGAACAACGTATTTTTTCCTTGTGATGAGAGCTCTTATGATTTATTCTCTTAAAATTTTCATATATAATATACAGCACTGTTAATTTTATTTATCGTGTTGTACATTATACCCCTAGTAATTATTTAACTTATAATTAAAAGTTTTTACCTTTTGAGTACTTTCATCTAAGGGAGAATTGGATGAAAAAGGTTTTAATACACAGTTTAAATATTATTTATATTATAAGGTAAGGATATAGCTATCATGGGATCATAGAAAATAAGAAAAACTTTAAAAATTAATTCATTCCAAATTCCACCACCCATAACTAGTTTCTGCTTTGATAGTAGCATTTTAGTATATTTCTGTTCAGTTTTAGTCATGAATTTTTACATAGATGAGATTTCAGGGTATAGAGGAAAATCAAATTTTATGCAGTTCTGAAATTTATGAAAACTTGAAATAATATGTGAAAATATTAGCAAAGACTGACCTCATGAGAAAAACTGAAAATCTCCTCAAAATATTTTCAAATGATCAATAATTACCTATCAAAGCTTGTGATCCAAGTAAGTGACTTGTAAACTGAAATTACACAGTTGTAAAAAGATCATACCTTAAAAAAAAAAAAGACCATGCCTTATTACTAGAAATACCTGCCCTGCTTTTCAGTGTCTTATGAACTATACTTGTTTCCATGTATCAGAGATTTTGCATGCAATTTTAGTGACTCAGACTTTATTTTGTTAGTAATTGCTATTATAATTTATACATTCCTCACCTTGGAAAATATTTTCAAAGAGTCCATTGAGTACTAGTACTCTCATAAGAAATATATGCTCAAAATCAACAATTCTCATTGGAAGTTAGATACGATAAAATGCTAGAAAAAAGAGCTATCAGCCTCAATTTAATCTACTCACTCTGGAGAGGTCTGTGTGGACTATGAGAGAGAATGATGAACTGCTAAAAGCATATTAATGTGGAAATATGCTCCAGTGATTGTGAATTGAGTTACCCTGAGCACAGCCTAAAGATGTACACCTGTTTTTGCACCTTGTAGCACGTTTATATGAATCTTAAAAGTCCCCTTCCTCAAAATTCTTTACTTCCAATTGTCTGAGAACTGCCTAAATTTTGATGACATTATTTTACAAGAAGTATTACTGCCATCTTCTGGAAAACTGTTGTAATAAATATTTAAATTTATGATGTCTGTGATGTGAATGGTGCTTCCTTACCTGTGGAACCTTGTTCACTACACAACCTGCTCAGTCATTAACAACAGCCCTGATGAAAACATACCTTTCATTGTTGTATTTATACCAAAAGGAATATTATTCTTGAATTATACAATCTTCCATTATGAGTTATTGAAACATAACTACATAACTCTCCCATGAAAAATAACTGCATTGTATATAATTTTATATTATGTCTATTTACTCAATATTATTTGAAAGCATTTTCCATGTCCTTAAAAACATAATTTTAAATGATATATTAAGTTCCATAATATAAATAGTATAATTCACTTGATCTTTCCCCTCATGTTGAATATTTCAGTTACTTACAAATTATTATTATTATTATGAGTATTTTTTTCTCTACAGGTGGGTAGGTAGATAGATGATGAAAGGAAGGAAGGAAAAGAAAGGAGAGG